ATATATATATATATATATATATATATATATATATATATATATATTTGGCGGTCGGTTTGGTCCAGACTGCCCAAAAAAGGTTCCAGACCGTAGACCAGACCAAATCGTCCGGTTTTGCTATTTTCTGAACCAGACCGGCCCGCTCAAACCACCAAAAACTTTCTTATTAAACCTAAAATAAATTATAATAAAAAATGAATTAAAGAAACTACATAACAAGAACTTTTAAATAGTTAATTTGATATATTTTTTATTTTTTTAAGATATCTTCAAATTTATATTTTATTCAAAAATAAAAACATTATTGTTTTTCTTAAAACTACATAAAACTGTATTATAACATCGATAGAGGATACAATAAAATAAAACATTAAAATCGAAATGTATTTCGTTGCATTATACAAGTACCCCTATATTATATCTTTAAATAATTTAATTAAAAAAAATTGATAGAAAAATAAAAAAAAAAATGCAACAAATCCAAGACCTCTCGAAGACGTCAAGGGGTAGATTCGAATAATCCGGGATTTCTTGTATCAATCGAAGCTTGAAAATTTGTCTCATTTAATATTATTAAATAAATAAATATTCCTTTTGTTATATTCTGTAAAAACATATTAAACAATAAAAATGCAATTATTAAAATATTTAATCCTAGTTGGCTAATTACGGATATTAATAGTTATTTAAAAAATTAAAATAAAAGGCTATAAGAGTGTTTGATAGTTGCTGAATGGTTTGGTACAATATAATTAAGTGATCAGAATGATTAAAAGACTTCTATAACACAATACATAATGAAATATGATTGTTTGATAATTGTTCAGAATGAAATTAGAACGTTGAATGTTTCAGAAAGACCAAAGATACAAAATAATTCAAAATATTTTAGAAATATTAAAAGACGGTCATTTTTGTCAAACAAGATTCATCTTTTAGCGACTCATAAACTACCTCTTATTAAAACTATTAAGAGGTAAACAAACATTCCCTACATTTTCAAAAATGAAAAATGAAGATTCAAAATTAAAAAACAATCATCAATTATATCGTTAAAATAACTCATATAGTATTATTATTTTTTTAAATATTTAATATTTAAGAATGCTATTGATGGAAACCTAAGGAAAAAAGAATATATATATATATATATATATATCACTTTTAATGATTGTTTTTGAAAAGTTTTTTTAAATTTGGAAATTTTAAACCCTCTTTTATATATATATATATATATATATATATATAAATATATATATATATAAAGAGAGAGAGAGAGAGTTTGTTTCAAATACAACTCATCGTATTTGTACAATCAATGCAACCCAATAAATCGAGATATTTATGTAAATGATGAAAGTTCATTTATTATGATTTGAATATTTATGGAAGATGAATATGATTCATTAATTATAATCGATACTTTATATTAGAAAACAATCAAAACTTCTATGAAATCACATATTAATCAAATGAAATGGACGGTTGAGATTGAGTTGTATTGGTTGCACAAATGTCAAGGGTTGTATAATAACCAMCCTCTCTCTCTCTATATATATATATATATATCTATACTATATATATATATGTGTGAGAGAGAGAGAGAGAGAGAGTTATTATACAATCTTTTGCATTTGTACAACCAATACAACTCAATCTCAACCATCCATTTAATTTGATGAATATGTGATATCATATAAGTTATGATTGTTTCCTAATATAAAATATTGATTATAATTAATGAACTTTATTCATCATTCATAAATATTCAAATAATAATAAATGAACTTTCATCTTTTCTATAAATATCTCAATTTATTGGGTTGCATTGGTTGTACAAATGTGATGGGTTGTATTTGAAACAAACTATCTCTCTCTCTCTCTGTCTATATATATATATATATATATATATATATATATATTCAAATAATAATAAATGAACTTTCATATTTTCTATAAATATCTCAATTTATTAGGTTGCATTGGTTGTACAAATGCGATGGGTTGTATTTGAAACAAACTCTCTCTCTCTCTCTCTGTATATATATATATATATATATATATATATATATATATGGTAAATCACATGAAAAAAGTAACGTACTTTAACTTAATTCCTGTTTTAGATAACGTACTTTCAAAACTTCAATTTTAGTACCTAAGATGTAAAGTTTTAAACATTTAAGTACCCAGGTAATCGGTTGAAAACTACTTTTAGATTAAAAAAATTAATGTCACTAACCATGTCAGCAAATAATATTGAGTTGGATACCACATTACTCGCCACATCAGCATGATAACCGGTTAATGCTTCAACCTGTTACCCGGGTACTTAAATGTTTAAAATTTTACATTTTATATGCCAAAATGAAAGTTATGAATGTACGTTATCCAAAATAAGAATCAGATTAAAGTACGTTATTTTTACATACAACAGCCCAAAAAGAATGCCCAAATCTTCATTTCCAAAGTACATTTATATGGTTGGGTTCACGTAAGACCAACATATTTTGTAAGACCGGTGAAACCACTATTTTACATTTGAAATTTCGCAGCAAAACGCTGATAAATATGTCAAATAAAAAGTTAAAACAATAATTTTTTTATATAAATCGAAATAGGTCGAGTTAAGTTCGATTTACTTGTTAACATACAGTTTTGAATTTTCTCCTCTTTTAAATTTCACTGATAAAATTCACGTATTAAATGTCACTAAATATTAATTGGATATTTTTTATAATAAACACTTGATTATATGATAACCACTTTACAAATTCATTTAATCCATTTAATTTGTTTATTTGATTGCTAAGGATTTTTATATGATATGATTATCAAACCAAAAAAATACAACTTAGGGTCGTTTACCAAACATTTACCCGACAAGTGCTTATGGATAAAATTTAACACCATTATTTATTTATCGGGTAAGATTTTAGTTTACCAAAATGATATTGTATGCAACAATTTACCCGGTAAGTGCTTACCGTGGTAAGATTTGCTGACCTCACTTACCGAGTAAGATTTTTGGTTCTTATCATATTCATCCGGTAAGATAATGTGAATTGATAAGTGCTTACTCGGATAAACGTTTGGTAAACGGCCCCTTAAACTAACATTTTTTTATCTAAATAAATAAGCCGGAATACTTTAATATCTCCAACATTTTTTTTTAAATGTAATTTTTTTTATTAACCTGAATATCAAATCCGCTATACAAGCTGACTAATCTCAGGGCGATCACCTGCTTTATGGATAACCCAGAGTCACCACATTTGAACTTTTGTGGTTACAAGAGAATTTTTGTTTCTTTTTAAATTTGAACCTAGGGCCTCCAAAAACTTTTGATATTTGGAGTCTAAGCTCAAACCGATCAGACATCATCCATTCATCCTTGTGGTTTAAAACGTAGATCGTGGATATATTTTTTTCCATAACAAAATTTCTCTTCTTTATGAAACAAAAAGAATGTGAAATTGTTCAAATTTATTATCCAAATCTAGAAACTATGCAGTTACAATAATAGATAAACTTTTTTTTTTACTAAGAAGGGTATTTGTGCAATGCAGCGAAATATTTCAATCTTAATGTTTCGTTTTATTCTGTCTCTATAGATGTTATAATATGATTTATGTAGTTTTGAGAAATGGATAATATTTTATTTTTGAAAAAAAATATAAATGTGAAGATATCATAAAATTTCGAAAATAAATATATCGATATTAGATTTTTATATTTAAAATAAAATGTGTATCTTGTATTTAAATATGTATATATATTTAGTTATAAGAATTCAAACATAGAACTTTAACAAGTTATACTTACGCACAGTTTATTTGTAATATTAAATTTTAAGTAATATGTATAAATAAACTGTACTTTATGCATAAAAAATAGTTTTTAAGAGTTTTTGTCAAACATTTTATAATATAATATAAATTACACCCTTAAAAAAATTAAAAAATTAAATGTTTAAAAAAGAAATAATATTTTATTAAATATTATAAAATACTTAATAACATAACTAAAATTGTAGTTTTCAAAATAAAAAAGTAATTCAAATTAAGTTATAATTTTTTAAAAAAATCAACCAATTAAATTTTGATTCTTAAAAAAGATTTCAAACTCAAATTTTTTTAATTAAAAATAAATGAGATAAAAATCTTTATTAATTTATTATAAGTTAAAATAATTTAATTTTTTTTTAAAAATTTATATTATCGATTTGGCATTAATATAAGCTGTTAATCTAAAAACTCAAAAAATATTTATTATCGATATCATCCTGAAATAAAATAATAAGTTAATTTTTATAAGCAATCTAAACACCCCTGATAAAAAGTAATATTGAAATCTCAAACGAATGTCGAGATAAATACGATTAGCATGCTAAGAATTAATGGGGGTTTCATCACCATCGCTAAATTCTAGAGAAAACGAGTAGAGAAAGAGATGGCAGGTTTGCAGAGATCGGCTGTATCATTCAGAAGGCAAGGATCATCAGGTTTAATCTGGGACGACAAATTATTTTCCGGCGATTTGAAACGGTTTTCCGAAGGAAATCCATCGTTATCGGACTCCGATCAAGTTCAAACGGCCGAAAATGATCAATCTATGTGTTCGAAAACGACAATCGGGTCCATCAACACTATTCGACGGAATCGATCCAACAACAGCGGAGAACGACCGCACCGTACGGGGAAGGCATCACCGGCGACAGAGCCGCCGTCACCTAGGGTTCCGGTATGCGGATTTTGCAGTGCTTTTGTGAAGGTAAATAAAACTCAAACACAAACCGCCTCTCGTAAACGGAGTTTGGCTTGATTGATCATGCAATAAAACGTTTTCCGCCACCACCGGCGGCGGTCGGATGGTGGTGTTACGTGAATTCCGTTGGATAATAACGAGGTGTGACCTTGTAAGATTTTGTTGACGATTCTAGTTTTTTTTTTCAGTAGTTTATAGTTATTTAGACTTCATTATTAAGATCTCTGATGAACTCACCTCCGATCTTTTGATGCTACATAACGATGAAATGCCATAATTCTTAACAAGATGTTCATCCAACTGCATAACGTCTCCATTACAATTCACATGAAATTGTATGTATAGAATTTTGACAGTACTGGTTATGCAATTCGGTTACGGTTACGGTTGCGAATCATGGAACAACGGTTCGAACCGCATTGTACGCATAACATATGTATACCGGAAGAGTTCAAACGAGAATCCTTTTGTTTTGCGAAAATGCACAGAGCACTTTTGTACTTTAGTCAATCAGATATGTTATCACATATGATACTAAATTTAGGTCGCATTAGAGGGCGATTGCACACCACAAAGTTCAGTATTATCCCATATGATAGGGTGTTCTTGCTTTTTCCTTGAAAATAAATGTGTTCTCGTTTTGAACTTCCACACAAGGTATGTGAGTGTGTGTGTATATTAGAAGGGTGCTCGCATAATATAGCGATATATATTTCAATTTTAATATTTTTTTTATTATTTATCTATGTCGATATAATACGGTTTTTAGTGGTTTTGAGAGAGCAATAATGTTTTTATTTTTTGAATACAACATAAATTTAAATCTATCATAAAATGTTGGGAAAAAAAATATCGATATTAGTATTAAATTTACTATTTAAAGTTCTGGTTTTTTATGTAATTTTTTTAATTCAATGTTATATTTATAATGATTATCCAAATTATATTTTAGATTTTTTGTATTCAAAATTAGATGTCTATCCCGTATTTGATTACGTGTATCTATCGTTAGTTACATAAATTCAAAAATGAAGTTTTAATAAGCTGTACTTACACACAATTTACTTGTGATCTTGAATTTTAAGTAATATGCATCAATAAACAATATTTTATACATAAAAAATAGTTTTTAAGAGTTTTTATCGAATATTTTATAATATAGTATATATATATATATATATGTGTGTGTGTGTGTGTGAGAGAGAGAGAGAGAGATTTTATTATCAACTAGAAAATGATCATTTAGATATTATTCAATCTTCAATAGTTTATAGATCGTCGAGCATGGAGAGTTCGATGAGCAGGGATGGATTGATGTATGTCCGAACAGGCTCCTGTGAATATGTTTTACCTATTTTTGCAAGTAAGAGTTCTTTTGAGGTATGAAAAATGCATCCGCAAAACTTTGAGATATACTCTAGGATATTGTAAAGTGTAACGAACATTAACCAAAAAAAAAAAACCCAAAATAGCACCTCAAAATCAGAACCCCCTTTAAAAATCTCTCCAAGTCAACCAAAAAACTTAGAAAGGAACATTGAAACGGTGGAATTCGGCTAAAAGTATATCGGATGACTTTACGGACTTTTGATTCCCTTTAAAGATGCAACCGCTCGACAAAAATTCTAGATCTACCTAAATTGATAAGAGATAAAACTCGGTTGTCAGATTTGTTTAAGAAGTATGATTAACCTTGTTATGCATTTTGGACTTAACCATGTTACATGCATATCCACTTTCCTCTTTGCATCTTAAGGACTTTAGAAACATTTTGTTATACGTTTATATAGATTATGAAACTTTATATCGTCACTTTCGACGTATGATATTTAAATAAAAGCTAAATGAATTGCTCCGAACGTTGTGATTTTTTGTTGTTTGAATTTAAACCGCATTGCAAACATCCCTAATACATCTACAAAATTCATGATTATGGGCTGTTTGGCAATTATTGAATGGTTTGATACAGAATGATTAAAAGACAATCATGATATAGTACAAAATGAAATACAATTGTCTGGTAATTGTTTAAAATGAAATTATGGCGTTGAATAGTTAAGAAAGGTCCAATATACAAAATTATTCAGAGGGTTTTAGAACCATTAAGAGACATTTTTTTTTTGTCAAACAAGATTCACCTCTTAAAGATTTAGAGACTACCTCTTAATGGAACTATTAAGAGGTAAATAAACAACACCTTACCCTTTTATCAGAGGTCATTTAAAAGGAATTTAATATTTCAAAATGCATAAAAATTTAATAAAATTCGTCTTGGTTCTTTTTTAGGCATCAATATATTCTTGTTTTTGATTAGTACAACAAAAAAACTTATTTTTACCCATTTTACCTAGAGATTTTAGCATACATGACATTAGGCCTGTTCATCGGTTGACATATATTGGATGTGAGGAAAACTGAACCGATCCAATCATCAATTGAATGTTGAATTTTGCCAACTGATCTGATTAATATTGGTTAATCGATTCAATCGAATCCAATGGATGGTTGAATGGGTTCGGTTTCATCCATTGTATACGTTTATTTGATATCCAATGAATGTTCCGTTAAGATTGGATCCATCCAATGTGTTAATTCAATCCAATTCTCCAACAATGATACAAATTGATTAATCACTTTTAATAAATATCAAAACCAACCCAAGGGAAGTTAAAAATTCAAAGTCTCACATAAAACAAATTATGATTTAGCAATTTGAAAATAAATTATTTGGATGATAGTTGGATAATGGTTGAAAGGACAACTGAATGGTCATCAAATGATAATTGGATGTTGATCGGTTCAGTTCGATACGGTTTTGGTCTATTCGGATTGCCATCCGAGAAAAGACTGATCCAAATTGAATGCTGGAATTTTCAATACGATCCAATCCAATTATAGTCAGTCAGTGCCAACTGAATCAGTTTATTTTTGACACACCCCTAGGCTACATGGTTCAATATTGATGTGATAATTTTTCCATATAATAAAAAATTATAAGGTAACTTGATAGTCGACATCTTTGCAATAGTTGCAACATCTTCAGAATTGTTTCCCATTAAGAAAATGTAACAATCACACAAAACAATTGGGATGTGACCATGTGAGTCGAACCAACAACATTATTGTTAAGGCTGCACATAAAACCGATGGCTCAACTATGCAACCCAACCCAATCCAACCCAACAATTGACCAGTGAATCCAACTAGGACCAGACCAACCCCTATTGGGTCTAAATTCGTAAATCCTACATACATGTTGATAATGTTGGCTTAGAACTCAACTAACCCAATCCAACCCAACCCAATCCAACCTTCAATCAGGAATATTCATAAATCATAACCAACCGAACAAGATTGGTCCACACATCCAAGAACCACTCTCATTCAACAAGCCCAATCTGGCATAGAGCCACCCTTTCCAAGGGACTCGTTAGGGACTCGTTATGCGGGTTATGCATGTGGGTTTCACATTGTTTTTTTGGAAGCAAAAAATTAAAGGTTCATTTACCAAATGGTTATCCGGTAAATGCTTACGAGGTCACTTATGGATGAACATGGAAAACATTGAGAATCTTATTCGGTAAGAGCAATGACAAGGACCGAGAATCTTACTCGGTAAGAGTCTTACCCGACTAGCGTTTACCGGATAAATTGTTGCAGAAAATGCCGTTTTGATGGATTTAACCCGGTTACTGGTAAGTGCTTACCGGATAAATTGTTGCATAAAATGCCGTTTTGATGGACTTAACCCGGTTACTGGTGGTAAGTGCTTACCGGACAAGTGTTTTGGGTAAACAGCCCCTAAGAGATTGTTCACTATCTGCTGACCTGCTGACCGCTTCTTACCGCGTAAGAAGGGATGTTTACCAACACACTTTGACCCACAAATATGTTGACCGAGCAAGGAAGGGGTTGCTTTCTGACTTACCCAACTTCAGGTGGTGCTTACCCATACGCTTGTAAACAACCATTTTCAGTCCTCACCTACCCAGACTGTACTCTTACTTCGTTAACACTTACCCATTTTGTGTTTGCTGAAGTGTTCGAGACTCATTGGTGTCACTAACTTTCGAAATCCACACTTGTGTATTGCAGCTGAACTACAAATGGCGGTCAATGAACAGGCATCGACACTTTCATGGCAAATACTAAGAATCTTACCCGGTAAGTAATGGTGATAACCACAAGGGTTGTGGCGTAATGGTTGAGGTCCTGGGGGGATGTGGTAAACTATCCCACCTGCCCAGGGTTTGATTCCAGAGGTATACAACAATTGTTGCTACTGATTTTATTAGGGCTGATTTCTTGCTATCACAATGTGCCGGGATTAGGCTATGCCTAAGACACCCTTCCAAAAAAAAGTGAAGGTGATGACTCTTACCCGGTAATCAGTTACCGGGTAAGAGTTGCTTACCAACAGTCCAACAATCTTACTATGCCATTTTGATGGCCAAAAATCTTACTATGCCATTTTGATGGCCAAAAATCTTACCCGGTTAGCGTAGGTAAACGGCCCCAGAGGAAAGCAACCAACAAACAAATAAAGATGCATTACATCTTTGATAGAGATCTACATACTCCATTCCAAAAGAAGACATACATTTTGAGTTTTGTATTCAAGCTTCCATTTTTAGAGTCGATATCAAATACATAAATGACATCGTCATAGCATAAACTAAACCAAACCAAACGAGCCCAGTATATCCCACCCGGAGGTGGGGTTTAGGGGGGTGGTAATATGTAAGAAGACTTGACCTCTACCTCAAAAGAGTAGATTGCCAAAGCATATTATGCCCTAAATCGTGCTCCCAGATGATAATAGTCACAAACAGCCTAAAGCTACAATCGAGTGTGGCCGAAACACGTTGATATAGGAATTAAAGACCTAGCTCAAAGCCAGATCTCGAGTTTAAAAGTATTAGAAACTTTAATCGACTCACAAAGTGAAGATGTAAGACGATGAACTCATAGATATTTTCTTGCAAGAGCTCGTACCTTTGTATCAAAATGCGAAGACGTAACACGAGATCCTGGTAGGTAAAGAGGATTCAGAAGAATCTGCAAAAACAAGGTATGTAGCCATAATTACAGAACACATTGCTTGGATGATCGATTTAACATAAAGAAATCTTGTCATATTGCAATTTGCAAGACACAAAATCAAAGAACAAATATTGATATAATCTGGTTTAGGGTTGGGATCCCTCATATTATAAGAATGATTCAAATGAAGAAAACATATATTCAAATGTTACCTTAATGTAAAGCTCATGGACGTCTTGGAAAAAGCTCTTGATCCCATCATCATTGCGGGAGTCATGAAGCAGCATCAATCGTGTATGTGTAATTTGAGTTAAGGAATATATATGAGAGGAAAAAAAAATAGAAACTAACGGTACAAAAACTTGTTGTCCCATGTTTGACATGACATTAGACAGGGACGAGAGCGAACTGGAGTGGGACAAAAATGCATTTTTTCTGTACCATCAAAATAGGTGGAACAAAAATCAAGGAAATGGCACAATATTGGTAATACTCATGTCAAATTACAACCCTAAAACCTTCCATAATTCACCTGCCTACATAACTCTCACCCCGTTCAGTCCTGTTTAATTCTGTCCACGTACCAAACACACCCTAAAAGATCACACCAGTCCTTTGGGGTCATGCCCACTGACCGGAAGCCTAACATTATCCAAACCATGTGGAGAGGGTGCTTTGCATGGACTTGTTCGGACATATGTGTTAAATACAAAGTTGTTAAAGGCTCAAGACGCACCTCGGCGCAACGGGGTCCCAGGCCTAGGCGTGAGGCACGGGCCTCAGGAATGTGAGGCGCATCTTGCCAATATACACACACACACACACACAGAGTTAGACACACCAAGTCTCCAGTGCAGCAACCAACAGTACTTCGATAGAGGCAGAAGGGTTTAAAGTGTGAGCCGTGAAGGAGAAGTTTTAAGGTCTGGGTATTTACAGAGGAGGCTTGAAGTTCTAAGGACTTGGTATTTAATATTAGGGTTTGACTTAAGTCATCTATTCAATCACACTTTTTTTAAGAAATCTAGGAGATGAGAAAACTTATTTAATCTTAGGGTTTAACTAGGTATTTAGTAACTCTTTATGAGGCGCACCTAGCCCACAAGGCGCAGTGCCTTAGTGAGCCTCGTTAATACACTGAGCCTCAACTTGAAAAAAGCCCAAGACCTTGAGCCTTATGAGCCTTAGAGCCTAGGCGTGCCCCAGGCGAACTTTTAACAACTATGGTTAAATACAACATATAAATTATTATCACACCTGAATGTAGATGAGGGAATCACGTGAACATAATCATCTGTACCAGCTACAAAGCTCTGATTGACCTCCTTGTCAGTTGTCACATAAGGCAAAGGAAAGCCTGTTTGCAAATCATCAGATCTCATTGTATGGTTGCAAATTGTAGCAAGAATGAAGCCAAGGACAATCAGGGTAGTTTGGTAGGAGGGACAGGACGGGACAGTACAAAAACTTGTTCACATTGGGTGTGACATACGAGACAGGACAGAACAGGACCCGAGTGAGACAAAGTTGCATTTTTTTCCTGTCCCGCCAAAATAGGTGAATTACTAAACTATCCATGATATATTAAGACCTTAAAACCTTACATAATTCTTTCACCTGCCTATCTCACTCTCGCCCGTCCACTCATGTCCAGTCCCGTCCGAGTACCAAACGCACCCTCAAAAAACAAGAATGATGCATATCGTCATAACATGCCATTACACTTTCTCAAAGAAGAACTTGGGGACATATAATATTATTGAGAAGCAAAAGGTTTCAGATAAATCTAATATAGACTTATAAGAGCAAAACACACACACACACACACACAGAGAAGGGTACCAAAGAAAGATTTTGTGAACTTATTAGTGATTTGTTAAAATAGAATTTTGTTCTTCCATGTAATGTGATTAAGAGTCAACTAAACAATTAATTACCAAAATAAGAAGGATATGACCAGCTGTAACATATACCGACACCACCAAATCATTGAATCTGTCAATTGCTTTCAGAAACCTGGAACCAGAAAAGTAGAAGTCTGTATGAGCGAGAAAAATGAGCTGAAAAATAAGCAGCTTCCGTCAATTATAGACAGACACACACACACACACACACATATATACAGAGAGAGAGAGATATAGATAGAGACAGATAGAGCATTTGATGAATCTTACATAGCACTTGTTGTCCATGCAAGATCTTGGACAACATCCAAAGCTGCATGGAGGATGAACTGGTGCTGATGCGCAGCCTCTTCTTTCTAGAAGGTAATTTAAGGTATGCATTAGTAGTGTGAGCAAATCATTTCAGGTAAACAGAAAGATGTTGCTCTTAGTCTACGTAAGTGCATAAAATAAAAAACAAATCGATTCACATGTAGAACAGTGAAAATTTTCCTTCGAAGTGCAGAAGTGGTTACATTTACAACCTAAAAGGAGTATCATGTAGAGTCCCCTAATAAACCAATCCAGCCTAGTGATCACGACAAAGTATTTGTAATTTTACAAAGAGAAGTTCCCTCCAAAAGCAACATGTGATTTAAACATATACTAAGGGGCTGTTTGGCTGGTTTTCCATTAAGTCTTGTATGGATAAAGCTGTCTGTGTGGATTAATCTGTCCGCATAGATTGGGAATGTTTTTGTTTGATAGCGTTTTTCAATAGATGGAAGGAGCGTGTCTGTTTTTAACTGAGAGTGACATGTTTGGAAAAAACTTGGCTTTCTACATAAAGCTCTACCCTAAAAGCTTATTAAATAGATCACTTTCTATATCATCAAGCCGCTACCAAACAATCATTTATAATTGACCGAATAAGTTGAGTCCGATAAACCTCATCAAGTTGCTAACAAACAGACCCTAAATGTTAATCCACCAACATTGTTGCCTAAAGTAACACCTAATCTAAATCTACTTTCTACACAAATAGTGAACTAGCACAAAGAGTGCTTCTAAGTGATCTTGATGCAATGCTTTTTGATGTATATAAATCTATATACTAAAAATACTACACCTCACCTTTGGTAAGGTTTGACCCTTGACCTCCTTGGAGGCTGGGCTCTATCAATAACCAAGGTACCATTGGGCCAATGACCCTTTGGTATCTTGACATAATGTTAAGAGCTCTCAAAAGATTATATTCCAATCATTCCCTCTCATGAGAGAAGAAGATTAACAATTGAGATGAAAAATAATGAGGTCAATGCAAATTTAGGAAGAGGTGAACAGGATGATGGCAGAATATTAATGAAGCGAGGAACAATGCTTGCTGTGCATGTAGAGCATTTGTCATAATTAGAGCTTTTCAGCACAGTAAGATATTTAACTAAAATAGAATAAGCCATTTTGTTTGCATAATCTGACATGATTAATCAAATCCAGAAATGACGTGAAAAATAAGCATACTTTAGGAGCAGTTCCGACTTCAGCTTCATAGATAGGTATGTCATTTCTGCTAATTATCATAAAGCATGCTGTACTAGACATATTGATCCAGAACACAGCTGCTGGTAGCCTGAATTTTATAAAGTCCTGCATCAAGAAATGGAAGTTACATACTAGAAAAGGGGTGACGCTATATGCACTTTTATGTCAGAATCAGGTCAAATCAAGCAAAAATGTAAAAATGTAAAAAATAAGTTTTGGTGTTGATGTGGGTGAGGAGGAAATTAGCGGACAGAGGTGCATTTAGCAATATATAGCGATCCTAAAAAAGCAAAAAAACGTACGTCCTACAAACCCAAATATTACCATCTACATTTACAACAAGGATACCTAAAGCAATAATCAACTTCAAAACATCAAACTTCACGCTCAAAATCAAACCTTTAACATGGCTAATGGAAGAGAAACACAAAAAACAGTGGCTTGAACATGGTATGTTACTGATCTACTTTCTCCTTCCAATATGTATCATGCTTTAAGATTTTAATCCCATCTACTTAGGAAACAACTACTCCAATCTGTCCTTCAAAACCTCCAGCCACTCGAAATCCTGTTCTTAGGCTGAAGTTCAGACATTGTGATGTCTTAATTTCATAAACCCTCGAAACAACCAGAAATTACAAATTATAAACCCTAACCAAAATTATGGCAACCAATGAACAATTTTGACGGATCACCAGAAAAATGTGAAGACAGATACAAAAACACAACAATGCGATACATCAATTAGATCATCTTATCGACATAGACACATAAAACGACACTGCGATATCATCAATCGTATCATCCTGATCGACATAGACACATAAAACTACACAACAGTGCCATAGTGCGATGGCAGTAAGCCAATGTCCGGAATAGCAATCAAGATAATCAATTATAGAGCCTGCATCTACGAATCTAAGTGAAAACCATAAATAAAAATGAAATCGACAGGTAAACGTACGCTGTGAACTGATCGGAAATCTTCACCGCACCGACTAAGGAGACGAATGACTTTTTTTTGGTGGGGGTCGGGGTCGAGGAGATGGGGTATTTCCTTCTTTCTAGTAAATAGCAATTTTAGTCCCTGTGGTTTGTTGATAATTTATATTTTCGTCTTAGTGGTATAGAAATTATGATTTTTCTCCCTATAATTCGTAATTTATTGTTATTTTCGTCTTTAAATTGATTTGTATTACAATAGAAGGGACTAAAATAGTAAATAATTACAAATAATAAGGACCGAAAAAACAACAAGTTTTAAATCATTAGGATGAAATTAACAACAAATTACAAAATATAGGGATAAAAATCGTAATTTTTAAACGATAAGGACTAAAATTGCATCTTTTAACAAATCCAGTGACTAAAAACATAATTTACTCTTATTTATGTGATCCCTGTCCAACTATCGACATGGAAGAAGTTTCAGTTTGACCCTTGTAATTTAAGATAATTACGTTACAGTCCTCCCTAATTCAATCTAAATACATGTAGTTTAAGTAAATGGTGTAGAGATACAATATAATTAACATAACATGAAATAAAACAAATGTTATTCATAAAAATTACGGCTTAATTAAAAGTGGATTTTTCTTTTCTTTTTTCCTATTGTTGGGAACTTTTTTTAACCATAAAGGTGGTGTCATATTGATTTGAGCTTGGACTACAAATGTCAAAAGTGTCTGGAGATCCCAGATTTGAATTCAATAAGAAATAAAAATCCTCTTATGGCCACGGAAGTTCAAATGTGGTGACTTCGGGTACCCGTGAAACGGATGGTCGCCCTGAGATTAGTCGGTTCGCATAGTAGATTGAATATCCAAATTAATAAAAAAAATTAAAAAAAAAGAATCAAATGAATTCAAACTTGCAACTTGTAATGTCACATGCAATGACATTATTGATAAGCTGCAACCACTTTTTGCTAAATTAGGGAAGTGGACATCAAGTTAAAGTGAATTTATTTTAGTAAATAAATCAATTGCATCGGGACGAAAGAGTATGAGCACATGTAGATCTGTATATAATCACTCGATGGTTAATATGGAAGTAAAGTAAATACATATACTTACATTGAACTTAAATCAACCTTAATTATGTTATCATTTTCGAGTTATTTAAACCCTTTTATCAAACTCATATATTTGTTAAGTCGAACTGAGATTTACATAAAAAATGCTTGTTAAAACTATTGAATCAAGTTTTAAATTTGTTTAACACGATCAAATAAGCTCAAGCATTTGCAATCCTTCCTTTTGTGTTGCCTTTTAAACTTTAGAATCAAGTGTGGGGGGCAGGGGCAGACATAAGAAGCCCGAGGGGTTCATGCACCCACTCAACTTAATTTCTCAAATAGAAATTTTTTTTATATGAAAGACGCCCCCGCTATATTTTGTTGATTCTCTAGGATATTAAAAAACACACAAGAAATATTAACCAAAAACCTGAAAAAGTCTCTCAAAATTAATCAAAAAACTTAGATGCCGTTTATCAAATGTTTACCTGGATAAGCGCTTACCAAGTCGTTTTACTTACCGGATGAATATGGCAAGGGTTAATAATCTTACCCGGTATGAGCGAAAACAAGAATCGAGAGTCTTACCCGGTAAGTAAGGACGAGAACTCTTACCATGGTTAGCGCTTACCGGGATAAATTGTTGCATATGATGCGTTTTAGTGATTAAAATCTTACCCGGTAAGTAAGTGATAGTGTTGAATTTTACCGATAAATGTTTACCGGATAAGTGTTTAGGTTAACGGCCCCTTAGAAAAAGATGAGCGAAACGTTGTCGGTATGAAAGGGCTTTGATGCAAATTCCGAAAGTTGAAAGGGAAGAAAGTGAAAATGGGGGAAGGGGGAGAATAAAGAAAAGCATGTACTTTCGTCCTCCCCCGGCCTGGTTCAAACGACAATAATTCATCCGAACATGTCCAAAACTCAGCAATTTGTATAGAAACCTGTAAAGTTTCCACTGTAATTGATCTGTTATCTAACAGTAAAGAGATGAGCGAAACAGTGTCTGTATCCTCTTCAGCTCTTTCATTTGTATATCTTATTATTTACTGGGGATTTCTCTATTCAAATTTCGCGAATGCACGAGGTTTTGATTCTTTATTGCAGCAACTCCCGCAACTGGGAGCTTTCAGAAATATTTTTGAATCAAAAATAGTTCTTAATGTTAAGGATTATGGTGCAAAGGGGGACGGCATTAAAGACGACACTAAGGTGATCAAGTGTAACAGTGGTTTTTTATTTTTTAGTTCACCAAGTGTTTGTTGAAATGCCTAGGTATCTATCTGTTCAAAGAGGGCTGTGCAAGTTTTACGCGGAGCATTGAAGTCTCATGAAAAGCACCCATTATTAGTCTTTTTCTGATTAAAGTAGTTCATAGACAGATGTTTGTTTCATTGTAAATGAAGTTACATCAGGGAAAGTGTCAAAAGATTTGAATCAAGAGATAATATATATATAGAGAGAGAGAGAGTTATATAGGGTCGGGTTCTGTTTAGAACCTTAAGAAAGGATCTCCACTCTTTGATCAATCTTAATTGAAGATCATCAGTTAGGAGATGCATTAAGATGCATTGGATCAATTCCCGTAAGAAGTACAATTCATGGGGTGGGGTGAGATTAAAAGTGATCAAGGGTCCAAATCCTTTCTTAGGTTTCTCATCTTAACTCATATTCTCACACGATACTATACTTCGGAGGTTTAGAGGAAAACCCCAAAAAATGGAAAACTAAGGAACGCCTCGGTAACCATTCATTTGTATAATATGCACATGTGCATACTGTCCAGATGAATGGTTACCAAGCTGTTCCTCAATTTTTCATTTTTTTGCGGTTTTCTCTTAAACCTAACCCCATACACACATATATATAATTACATATACACATCTGTTTGATCATCTATTGACAGAACCCTGTTTCTGGTCAGGTCTTTGCAGAGGTTTGGGACATGGCATGTTCTTCAAAGGTAAAACAAGCAAGAATCATAATTCCTGATGGAAGTCATTGTCTTGTTCGACCAATTAGTCTGGCAGGCCCTTGCATCTCGAAAATAACTTTGATGGTATGAGAAATATCAATCAACTTTGAATTACCAAATCTGTTGCTCAGCACCTTTCTATTACCACTCTCTTCTCACTTTAGATTATTGTTTTCTATCTCTATAGATCTCTGGTTCGATTGTTGCTCCAAGTAATCCTGATGTTTGGCATGGAAATGATACACATAAGTGGCTATATTTCCATGGTGTGGATCACCTCACTGTAGAAGGAGGAACCATTGATGGGATGGGAAAAGAATGGTGGAATAGTTCATGCAAGATCGACCCAAAAAATGTATTTCTTGTTGTATACGTGGCCTCTGAGTAGGTTCAAATGAGAAGCGTAAATATCTTAAGAACCGGGGAACCAACTATTCATTCATGATGAACATACATGATATCATATATCATGCTTGAATATATATATATATATATATATATATATATATAGGGGGGGGGGGTTCTTTTGAGAACCCATGAAATTGTAATAGCCTTGAGAACTAGTGCATCATGTGATATTTCATAAGATTTTTTTTCATCTAAGACTAGGATTTAGGATATCGATTAACATATATTTGTTTCACAATGTGAACCCTTTTAGCCTCTTTGTGAAACAAAGTTACACATAAAGAAGTGTCACATTGTGAACCGCATACATATGAAACAAATATATGTTAATTAATACATTAAATGCTAGCCTTAGATGAGAACAAATCATGTGAAACAATACTTTAAAGTAACAGTTCCAATGGTTATCACAATATATGGAGTTCTCTCAAATGATTAAACCCATATATATATATATATATATATATATATATATATATATATATATATATATATATATATATAGGGGCTTAATCATTTTAGAACTCCAAAATTTATGAGATATGTGAGAACTTCTACCTTGAGGTTTTGTTTTACATGATCTTTTTCCATCTAAATATAGCATTTAATGTATTGATTATCATATATTTATTTCACAATATGTTTGTTTCATATGTATCCGGTTCACAATGTGAAACTTTTTACATGTATTTTTTGTTTCACAAACATGCCAAAAAGGTTCAACCTAGTACATATGAAACAGATACATTGTGAAACAAATATATGTTAATCACTTCACAGATTAAAAAGATCATATGAAATTACATGATGCACTAGTTCACAAAGATCTCACCATTTAACGATTTCTCAAAAGAAGGTCCCCCGATTTATATTTGGTTCCCAAGTTTTCAAAATATTTATGGTTCTCATTTGAACTTTCTCTCATCACCTCCATAAGTTGGCTGTCTTTCTTCTTTCTATCTGTATATATAAACTAACTTCTCTCTTCTTTCAACTTTTTCCAGCCTTGCAGACACGCTCCAACGGTTAGTATTGATATTGGACCAGTGGAGTTGGTTCATAAATTTGTGCTTATTATGCCCGAAAGAATATAAGATTTTTGTGCTATAACACTTCCCCAAAATTACTATGCAGGCTATAACCTTTCACAGATGCAACAATTTGGTGGTCAAGAATCTAATGATTATAAATGGCCAACAAATGCACATAGCATTCACTACATGCGATGGGGTCGCCGTATCAAGATTGGGAGTTTTTGCTCCTTCTGGCAGCCCTAATACAGATGGTATCCATATAAGTGCATCCACAAATGTTGAAGTGAAAGACAGTACTGTTGGAACAGGTTGGTTTTATCAAAATTGCAATTACTTTCCACACGATACCCTTTGGAACAGGTTGGTTATATCCAAATTGCGATTACTTTCTGTGGAATACCCTTTAAAACTGATTGCTTATATCCAAATTGCAATCAGTTTTAACATCCCTTCTTACCGGGTAAGTACCTCTTACCCAGTAAGAGGCATTTAGCAGGTTGTAAACAACAGTCACCAAATCTGAAACTTTAAAAAGAAAAGTTAGTATGTATTTAATAAATAATATACTGAATCATGGATATGTAGTTATTTTTTGTCAAGTAAAAGTATGAAGTTGGCTGGAATATGACCATATTTTACCATTGCAGATGGTTCAAAGTATTTCCTCTGATTACATGTTCTTTTTATCCAATACCTAACGTAAACACAAGTTAGGGGCTGTTTGGTTGGTTTTCTATTAAGTCCTATATAAATCAAGTTGTATGTGTAGATTAATCTGTCTGTATAGATTGAGAAGGTTTTGTTTGGGAGAGTTTTTTCTTAGATGGAAGAAGCATGCTTTTTTAATTGGGAAAGACAGGTTTGGAAAAAACTTGCCTTCTGCATAAAGCTATATCATTAAGCCACTACCAAACAGTCATGTATAGCTGACTAAGTTCTCATTAAGCTCATTAAGCTGCTAACAAATGGGCCCTTACGTAGATGAATGTTTGTCGTTTAGGGTGAATCTTGCCTAGCATTTATCTGTTTCTACAAGTGCTATTGAATCTGAATGATTATCCCACAGCTTAGCCTCAATTCCGTAGCCGTCTCATAATTCCAGAATGTTGGATTTGTAGATTTTGTTTGATACCATACATATTTACTGAATGCTCCCTACATTTGCTCTAGGCGATGACTGCATATCTATAGTCAGCAATTCCTCAAAAGTTAAGATTAGGAACATTGTCTGTGGTCCTGGCCATGGAATAAGGTAAAAACTTTTAATTTTTTATATCTTTATCTTGACGATAGGTTGATACAATGGCTAATCCTGATCGTATAACTTCATCATGTTTATGATATTAATTTTGGCAGCATCGGAAGCTTGGGAAAGTCAGGCTCCTGTGATCAAGTGTCTGATGTGAGTGTTCGTGGGGCATTTCTGTCCAACACCGAAAATGGACTCAGGATCAAAACATGGCAGGTACTAGTCACATTTTGTTCTCTTGTAACTCTGGTTATCTAACCAAAGGGTCATTGGCCCAGCTAGGGTGTAAACAAGTCGATCTTTTAACGAGCTACTCGAGCTCGAGCTCATTTATCTCGACCTTGAGCTTAATTATTATCGAGCTCGAGTCGATCTTGAACACAAAAATGAAGCTCTCTTATCTTAATGAGTCGAGCTCCATAACACCAATGTTCGACTCGACTTGTTCAAAAGCTCGATTAAACTTTAGGAGCCGAGCCGAGCCATTCGAGCATACACTTTTTCAAGCCAAGCATATGTATGTGTTTACAAATTACATAATCAAAATATAAAAATAATCAAGCTTGAGTAAATGAACAAGTTAATCCATCACGAATTCAAGCTCATAAACGAGCACCGAGATCGAGCTCAAACATTAAAGAAATATTCGAGCTCGAGCTCAAGCCCGGCTTTTGAAAAGTTAATCGAGCTCGAGTCTAATATTATTTTTTTAAGTCGAGCTCGAATAACCTGCTACGTGACTCGACTCGGCTCGGCTCGTTTACACCCCTAGGCCCAGTAGTATCCGGGTTATTGATAGATCTCAGCCTCACCAGAGAGGAGGCGTCTGTGTGAGTTTTGCCGTATATAAATATTATATTTGGTTCTTGACTATTGAGGGAGGTTCAAGGGAAAACCCCCCAAAAAATCAAAAAACTAAGGAACACTCTGTAACCATTCATCTGTAAGATATGCACATGTGCATATAAGTAATTAAAGTTGTATCTTGGTTTCTATGCACGTGTGCATGTTATGCACGTGTGCATGTTATGCACGTGTGCATGTTATGCACGTGTGCATGTTGTGCATATCGCACAAATTGCTTACAAGTTACTTGTATGGTGTTCCTCAAATTTTCATTTTTTGGCAGTTTTTCCTTGAACATGACCCCTTGACTATCATATAATGTTGATATACTCTTCAGTGTGAAAATTTCTATGGGACCAACCATATCAATGTTTGGTCTCCCTAATGATACCTAGATTATGACATTTTTAGTCTCTGAACCAGGGAGGCAGCGGTTTTGTTAGCAATGTCAAATTTGAGGATGTGTTGATGGAAAATGTATCGAATCCAATCATAATCGATCAATATTATTGTGATTCAAGCAAGGCATGTCCAAACAAGGTATGTATCGATCATATTTGTAATTTTGTATTGTTATTTCTTGCTCATATCACATTTTCAATGTTTAGCGTATTTGTTTCTCCCCATTTCTCACACTTTTAGCTGAAGTTTTCACGGAAACAACCGCTCTATTCTTTGGTGTAGATGTTAGGTATGCGAACATCTTACCCCCCAGACCCCACCTCCGGATGGGGCTATACTGGATTTTGATATATGAGATTAGGGATGTGTAGTTTCCACACCTTGGTTATGTTTATCCTGAGCTTGATTCTTTTTATATTGTTGTTGCTTACTCATATATAGTTCTAAAAATTTAGCATATTTGTCTCTCTATTTTTATTCTTATTTGCATTGCTATTGCTTACTCATATCACTTTTCCAATGTTTAGCGTTCTTGTTTCTCTCCATTGCTCACACTTTTCACTAGCTGGGGTTTTCACATAAACAACCCTTCTACTCTTTAGGATAGAGGTTAGGTCTGCGTACATCTTACTCCCAGATTCCTCTCCATTTCCCACACTTTCCACTACTTGGGGTTTTCACAGAAACAACCGCTCTACTATTTAGGATAGATGTTACTATTCATGGAAGAACTCAGTATTTTATGAGAACTGTGAGATCCATGTGTGAATTACCAAGTTGAACCCATATATGGTAATTCACACAACCGAAACCAACGCATTTTCCATTTCAAACATTAAACTAAAATATCATAATTCATACTATTAACACTCATTGATCCAAGGCATGAGTGTTTTATGTTTCAAACGTTAAACCTAGACATGGTAATTCACAATATGATTACTCACTGAACCCATACATGTGGTTGGATTTGGATCTCACAGCTCTCACAAATAACTGGGCTCTTAGTGATTACCTTAGGTCTGCATACATCTTACCTTCGAACGGGGATATATTGGATTTCTTTGGTTTCATTCCTTTGTTAAGTATGAGATTACCAACAAATGTTCCTGAAATGCATTTCATGAAATTGCAGACCTGTGCTGTTAATGTGGAGAACATATCCTATGTGAATATAAAAGGAACTTCAGCTTCCCAGGAAGCCATAAATTTTGCTTGTAGTGATGTTGCCCCCTGTGAGGGGCTATATTTAGAAGATGTTCAACTTGTGTCAGCCACTGGGGGCATCACAACTTCATTTTGCTGGGAAGCCAGGGGATCAACTTCAGGCACTGTATACCCCCCTCCTTGCTACTCACCTTGTTCAAGCTTCATTAACCAGGTTACTTCATCCATCCCTCATCTTCAAGCCATTTAATCTATCATTTGTCAAGGTATGTATATCAGACTTGGGATCGTGTGAGACCAAACTGTGTTTTCATGAGACCTGTGAGACCAACTACTTAACATTAACTTTCACAGCAAAACACTGTGAAAGGTTCGAAGTTTTTCTTTACCTTCACAATGTTTTACTGCGAAGTTTCAGATTTTCAGTACTATTTTGTGGTCTCATGATAACAGGTTGGTGTCACGTAAGCCCAACCCATGTATATCATCCCCCCTAAATCAATGTTATGTCAACTTGTACATCGTGCATTGAAAGTTGTACATTCCCTTGATCTACCATTTTCGAAAGAAAGATGCTTGATTGTTAAAAACCTAAATGTGGCCCAAGTTTAGAGATACCCAAGTTGTCTCGGGCTGTTTTTTATTTTCTGAGACCGGACGTGACGGCTTTAGGGACATGATATCTGATAGGAGTTATTGGAGACGCAAGAATTTAGAGTGGACGGTTTCGGCCTTCTAGTGTCGTCCTTTATTGTAAAATGATAACCATAAATATTGTATCCGTACAAAAAGAAGTCATTTTAACATGATTGTGACCATCGGATGTGGTTATGAGTCATTAATGACATATTCTTTTTGCTTGAAAGAATAATTAATGATTTGTTTCTTAATTAATGATTCAATATAATATCATAATAAATTAATAACTTCATCTCCTAAAATTCAAACAAACTAAAATTTACATGCATGCATGCTATTCAAGATTTAAATAAATTACATATATGCTATTCAAAATTCAAAAGAAATTACAGTATATTTTGAAGGGCAAATTGCATGAAAAAGTAACGTATTTTAATTTGATTTCTATTTTGGGTAATGTATTGGGAAAATTGCACCAAAATGGAACCAACTTTCACCTAATTCCTATTTTGGGGAACCAACTTTCAAAAGCGTCATTTTGGTGAACCAACTTGCACCTGATTCCTATTTTGGGGAACCATTTTTCAAAATCGTCATTTTGAGGAACCAACTTGCACCTGATTCTTATTTTGGGGAACCAACTTGCAAAATAATTATAGAAAAATAATTAAAATTCGTTTTTTTCCAAAAATTAATGCAGTAAAATCTATTTTTCATTTCAAATCTCGTTTTTTTAAATTCAGATATCAAATTGAACATTTTAAAAAATATCCAAATTACCACAATAAAAATTGTTTTTTACTATGCAAAAAAAATCAATTTAATAGAAAAAATAATTGATGCAATAAAAAAATATTAAATATCACGTTCAAGATTTTTCCATCTAACCAATTGCATCAATTAATTTTTTTCTATTAAATAGATTTTTTTTGCATTAGTAAAAAACAATTTTTATTGTGGTAATTTAGATTTTTTTTAATGTTCAATTTGATATCTGAATTAAAAAAAACGAGATTTGAAATGAAAAATAGATTTTATTGCATTAATTTTTGGAAAAAAAAATTTTTTAGTTATTTTTCTATAATTATTTTGCAAGTTGGTTCCCTAAAATAGAAATCAGGTGCAAGTTAGTTCCCCAAAATGACGATTTTGGAAGTGAGTTCCTCAAAATAGAAATCAGGTACAAGTTAGTTCCCCAAAATAGGAATCAGATGCAAGTTGGTTCCCCAAAATGACGATTTTGGAAGTGAGTTCCTCAAAATAGAAATCAGGTACAAGTTAGTTCCCCAAAATAGGAATCAGATGCAAGTTGGTTCCCCAAAATGACGATTTTGAAAGTTGGTTCCCCAAAATAAGAATTAGGTGAAAGTTGGTTCCATTTTGGTGCAATTTTACCTAATGTATTTCTCAAACTTTCATTTTGATACCTAAGGTGTAAATATTTAAGTATCCGGGTAACCGGTTGAAGACTAATTTTAGATTAAAAAAATCAATGTCACTAATCACGTCAACAAATAATATTGAGTTGGATATCACATCAGTATGATAACCGGTTAATGCTTCAATCAGTTACTTGGGTATTTAAATGTTTAAAACTTAACATCTTAGGTACTAAAATGAAAGTTTTTGAAAGTACGTTACCTAAAATAAAAAATCAAGTTAAAGTACGTTATTCTTTCATGCAATTTGCCGTATTTTAAAGTCAATATTTACATCAATTAATCAAGGATATGAGTGTTTTTACAACAAAACTTTATCCCACAAATAAACATTTTACCTAATTCATAATTATATTTACACCAATTAGATATAAATATTTTAACTAAGGTGAAGTATCGTGTGAGAAGGAAGTTATGATGAGAAATTTAAGATTAAATATGAACCATTGATCATTTTTAACCTTATTTCCATTCATGGCTTTAGAATGGAATTGATCTGGTACATCTCATTACATCTAATCAGTGTAGACATTCAATTAGGATTGATCCAAAGGTGATCTCTTCTTACATCCAACCCTTTTAACTAAATTAGTTAACCAAGCGTTTCTGAATTTTTATTGTTTGCTTAAAAAAACTAACTACTAGTTAATAATTATAATATGTTACTAATTTACCTTGATGATAAGAGCACCAAGCCACCAAATGGTTTTTGGCCTAACGGTATCGTAGTCTTTAGCCTCCTAAGAAGTCAGGGGTTTAAACATATCTTACCCCTGACCCTATATCCATATGGATTATATTGGGCTCGTTTGATTTGGTTTTTGCAATCGGTTAACTCTACCCTACATGTGGTTTTTGCAATCGATTGTACACAAGTAATGACATTTAACATCTACCTCCAAAAATACAATTCAGCCTCTACATAATCACCATAAATTGGACTAAATTTGGCAAAAACATCTGACGATGCTAACGAACGCCGAGCTTAGGACAACCATTAGCTAGCGGCAACTGCAAGTTCTCGGCACTCCTGAATGTTCGTTTGATCATCTTGTCGACATAAAGCGTTCCTGCTAGATGATCGCATTCGTGTTGTAAGATACGAGCTTGCCAGCCGGAAGCTGTCACCTTTATCGGTTGACCGTATCGGTCCAAGCCTGTAACCTCAACATCTAGGGACCTTTCAACCAATGCTCTATATCCATCAATGCTGCATAACTCACATACCAACAAACATCAAGACAATAATAGGATACAAGCAAGCAACGCTTATTGCTCTTCTTTAAAGACCCATAACTCACCTCAAGCAGCCTTCAAAAAACAGTGCTGATTTGTTGCTCTTCTTTTGAAGATTAGGGTTTATAATCACCTAAATTTTCAAGAAATTCATGAAAACTTTTGAGTCATTTATGTGGAATACTGTTAGGGGCCGTTTACCAAATGCTTACTTGGGTTAAGCGCTTACCAAGTGATATTACCTTACCAGATGAATATGGTAAGGACAAAAAATCTTACTCGGTAAGAACGAGGCAATGATTGAGAGTCTTACCTTGTAAGTGAGGGCAATGACTCTTACCACGGTCAGCTCTTACCGGGTAAATTGTCACATAGAAAGTCGTTTTTGTTGACTAGAATCTTATTCGACAAGTAAATAATAGTATTAAATTTTACCGATAAGTGCTTACCGGATAAGTGTTTGGTAAACGGCCCCTTAGATTACTCTTAAAAAGATCCCTTGAGAAAAAGAAGGGAGGCTCCAACATATATTGATAAATAGTCCCGGTCTAGACTCAACAGGCTAGACGGAAAGCCATAGTCCAAGAAGGTGCATTTGGTATGCGGATGGGACCAGATGAAACTAGTGTCGGCCGACAGAAGAATTGTGGAAAGTTTTAGGGTTTTATTCTAACATTTGTAGTTTAGTAATTTACCAAGCTTGTTCCATCTCATTATTTTTGTTCTACATATTTTGGTGGGACAAGAAAAATACATATTTGTGTCACTCGTGGAGTCCTGGTCAATTATCGAACCTAACATTGGAGACCATGTCTTTGTTCCATCATGTGTCGTCCCTCGTATCAAAAGCAGTCAAAGTGTCCGAGGGGGTAGGGGGTTAGACGAGAGAGAGGACTAAATGAGTACAAAACGCGTTGCTATATGCATGCCTATTTATATTAAAATGTCAATAATATACTGAAAATGTAAAAAGTAAGTCTTGAGGTGCGTTTGGTACACTAGACAAGACATAATAAAACAAGGATCACTGTTCCATGTTTGACAAAACTTTTATGTGGAACAGAGTGGAACACGCCTATGTTTTATTATTTTATTTTATGTTATTTAAACCGTCATTTTATTGTCCTCAAAATATTATTTTTATATGGTTTCTATATTTTGGTTAATTTATATAATTAACTAAATATAATAACAAAAAAAATAATATAGAAAATGTATAAAATAAAAATTAAAAACTGCATAAACTTTTCCTTTTGTTGTCATTTTAATCATTTCGTTGAAAACTTTCTAATGATATATTTTGTTATAAAATATATAAACAACTCATTAGGAGTAAATTTGTTATTTTATATATTATGTCCTACCAAATGTTGAACAACTGTTCTTTCTTGTGTTATCCTATCCTATCCGGATACCAAATGCACCCTTAATGATAATGTATGAAAAAAAAAAAATTAATAGGTAGGTGTACATTTAGTCCGTCTTGGAGCACGAATAGCTCAAGAGTGTAGGTCACTAGGTCTGGTAAACTACTTTTGGCTCAGATATATGTGCTAAAGGAGTTCCACATCTTAAGCCACGTGGGGAAAGGGTGATTCATGTTGAAAGAATGAAGGCTGGCATGGAGGATACTTACCAGAAGAGGAAAAGGACGTCTATCTTGTGATTTGATATCTTCCTTTGGTGCATACCCTATGTATTCTTCAGTGTCCTCCAACACTATAATCTATATAAAACACATCATCAATTGCATATGAAAACTATTAGATATAAGTTTGAAGAAAAAATTAAGGGGTTAGCGATTAGGATCCACTGTGCACACACTTGGATATTCATAATGAATATTGTCATATTCGTTATGAATATGATAGTGTTATTCATCATGAATATGTTATTCAGAATAAATAAAGTAGTCCATGTTTATCATTAATGATAGTGTTTATTCATCATGAATATGGTATCCAGAATGAATAATAACGAACGTGTGATTCCCTGTTTCATGAACTTGTGATTCCCATGTTATGATGAATGTGTTATTCAATTTTGGACAAAAATAAAAACTAACTTTTAAGGGAATACCAATTTGGGGAGCAGCAAGGCCAACGCCAGGTGCTCCCCTCATGGCCTTCACCATATCATCAATAATCTTCTGGATACGCTCCGACCCGATTTCATCGGGTGATACTTCTCGGGCGGGTTCGTGAAGAACCGGGTCACCCGCTTTCACAATCTCCGGTAAATCTGTAGTATTCTTCTTCTTCTCCCCTAAACCTAGAAACCAACCGGCTCGAAGTGGAGCGATTGAAGAAGAATCGAGACCTCTTTTCTTCGTGATGAAATGCACTTTAATGGCGGATTTAGATGGACAAAACTGGGGGTTTACATTTGGATTGTATTGAAATCGAATTACTGGAATCATCGGTGTATGAAATGAAGCAGTTCTGCGACATTTTCCGGCGAGTGGTAGCGGCGGAGGACGGTGTGATAGCCGCTGAATTCCTTCCATACTCGAAGAATTGGTTCCTCAAGCGAATTGATCGTAGATAATCGGATCGTTGTTGGAGCACTTATCGGGTTGAGCTTCGAAACCAGTTCGTTGAATTCGTGGTTTCCACTTGTGGCTTCGTTTGTCTGGATCTGGAATCATGAACCTAACTGGATATATCTGGTTTCCATTTCGTTTGTGGGCTTGGGCATGAAACGAGCCTGATCCAACCTATTTTATCTGGCCACAAAATCGGTCCCCGGTCCGAGATTTTGCATTTTCTAGCCGTAGCCGATGCTATGTTAACCGGTCCCGGGCCCCGACCTTGAATTTTTGTAAAAAACGTAACTAGGCCCGGACAGTCGGTCCATAACCGGTCCTTTACGGTCCCTACCCTCGGGTTCGGCCGAGCCCATCTTGGGCATCGCTAATCTTATCCCGACGTTTAACATAACACATTCAAGCCCTTTTTTCACAATTAATTCTAGGGCGAGCTTTATGTAGAAAACCTAGTTTTTTTCTTCTAGAAAACAAACCAAACAACCCCTGAGTTGTGTTTGCATGTCTTATACATAGGACGGGTCGAGCTTGTCCTTGGGCGAACGACCCTAAAAAGCCTTTTACCTTAAAAGAAAACAAAACTATACAAGTAATATCTATCGATTTAATATATTTTTCCGCTATTCAACCATTAAAATTTTAGTGGTTGTTCTGAATCAATCCATTTTTTAAGAATCGTTATACGATAATGGCTGCTTTTTTTTAACAGGACTGGCAGGCAGGCCAAGTTTGGCAAAATGCACCATTCGTAATTATAGTTTATGATTGTCTATTCAATATTTAAGCCATGATATGTCGTTATTACCCTAAAAAGTGGTGTGTCACAGTATGCGGTTGCATACTTAGGAGCCGTTTACCAAACGTTTATCTCGATAAGTGTTTACCGACAAAATTCAACATTATCACTTGCTTACCGGGTAAGACTCTAATCCTCAAATGCAACAATTTACCCAATAAACATTAACCGTGGTAAGAGTTATTGTTCTCACTTACCATGTAAGACTCTCGGTACTTGTTTTTGCTCTTACGAAGTAAGATTATTGATGCTTACCATATTTATCTGGTAAGATAGTGTTACTTGATAAGCATTTACTCGTGTAAGCATTTGGTAAACGGACCCTTAGAAGACGACATGTGTTCGTTCTTGATTACTAAGGAAACATCAATGAATTAACCAAAAGTTTGATTAATTAGGTGTTGAAATAGAAAGTTATGACATGGTATGCATTAGTCCAAAGCATGGAAACAATGAAGTTAAAGCACAAAATCTAATGAATTCGAGGTAAGAATACGTCTTAAATCTCATGTATACAATATTACACAAATGTTTAGGCTATGTTTGGTAAACTAGCGGATAAGTTAGCTGATGGCTGATAAGCTAGATGTTAGCTTATAAGTTATCTGGTGAACAAAATCATGTTTGACAAAACTAGCTGACAAGAATATAAAATGACTAAAAAGACATCTTGAAAAATTAATCAATTATATCATTTTAAAATATAAATGAAACAAAATTTTAATAATATAATATATTAACTAATATAAACAAGATAGTAAAACAAAGTATAATATATTGATTAAAATAATTTCAAATTGATTATTATATATGTTATAATATTTGAATTTGCTAAAACAAATTTTTAGAAAAAAATATATTATTTATAATTTTAAATACTCATTATATCTAAACTATCTTATTAAGCAAATTCATCAAAAGTCTTAAAGTCTTAAAATTCTAAATGACCAAGATACTTTTTTCACTTTTTCACCCCTTCACCCCCTCACATACATTCGCCTCTCACATTCAACGGATTTTTTTTTAATTATAATTTTAAATTTACAATTTATATCCCTATAATTAGTTAATTAATTACTTTACGTTATTTACTTTTGAATTTTTCATTTTAAACATTTATCAAATTAACATACATAATCGTATATCAAATAAAACATGTTTAAAAAATATATTTTTATTTTAACAAGTTACACCATTATAATCGTCTTGTTAATACCTTCAAAATTAGTCTAATATTGAATAGTTTTTGACTTAATTATATTATTATATATTATATATACTGTGAAAAAATATTTTTAATGTTTACGATTTATACTTTTATAGTTATTTATTTATATATATGCTATACTTTTTGGGATTAGGCTGTCCAAATTGCATTGTATAATATGTTCTGAATTAATATGTTCTTGGGTTTTTTTGAAATATATATATACATGTATTAATTCAACCTTAATCTGAGCTTCTGGACAAGAAAGAGGGTAAGCAGTTGAAATTTCATTCTAAACCCCATCTTTTTTGGTCTTTTCATGGCTTATGATCTGTCANACAATCATCGTAAATAATTAGTATATAATATATAATTAAAATTAATTAATAATTAATATTTATTAATATTTAAAATTTATTAATATTTATTTATTATTAATAGTAATGGTTAATTAGTTAATAAACTACCAAAACGCTACTACAAGTAACGTTTCAATAAACTGGGTTATTTACATCCAAACATGTACCCAAAAAATAAGCTAGCTTATTTTTGTCAAACAATGTTTTAATATGAAAATGAAGTAGAATTAGAGACCTTAAGACCATGCATATGAGCAAAAATGGAAATTCGTCGTTCTTGTTATAAAGCGCCCTTGATGATCTGTGTTGTCTTAAGAGTTGCACAAAAAAACTTAAGTCAGAACCCGAACCGAAAAGTCCCAAGTCTAGTGAGCTCGAAGCCAAGCCATTGCCACGCCTCAAACCTTGATCAGGTCGAAACTTCGAGAGCAACATTGGGCCTAATCCCTGGCTTATTAAACTCGAAAAACTCTGTTGAAAAATTCCGAACATAACCCTTTTCAACTTCAAAGCACAAAAACCGAGATTGAAAATAGCTCGAGTTTTGTGCATTTGTAGATAATACGATGAAATTTAAAATACAACAAAGAAGGGAAAAGTTAAAAAAAAAACCTAATGGACTTTAGTGTTTGGAATGATTAAGTCGTTGAACAATTTTTTGGAACAAATAAATCATTGGACATTCTAAAACCTATTAAACAACTCATTGGACTTTCTAAAACTTGTTATATACATTTTTATAACCTATAAAACTAATTAACGTAGTAAAATAATGGAAAAAACATGAAAAAAACCAATGAACATTCATATTTTAAGCGATAAAGTCCCTAAACATTTTTTGAACCAAAGTCATTGTCACGCCTCAAACCCTGATTAGGTCGAAACTTCGAGAGCAACCCTGGGCCTAATCCCTGCCTAATTAAACTCAAAAAACTCTATTGAAAAATTCCGAACAGACCCTCTTTCAACTTCAAAGCCTAACCCGACAGAAAAATCGAGATTGAAAATAGCTCGAGTTTTGTGCGTTTGTAAATAATACGATGAGATTTAAAATAAAACAAGAATTATAGAAAGGGGTGATGAATGTTGTCCGTACATGTAGGAACCGAAGGTCCAAACCCATGAATTAAGCCACAACCTACTCGCACCTTTTCTATAGGAGACAAGTTCGTACCATTTCTACTCCAATTAATCTCAACCTTCTTTTACACGTTTTTTTAATTATAATATTTAATTAAATTTTAAATAAAACAATTTATGGTATTAAATATTAATTAACTTTTTTTATTAATAATATATTTCAATTGGGTTTAAAGTAATGTAATTAAAATCTTAACTCAAAAGAAAACGAATCGACGACGTGAGGTTTAAAGTCGTTGAGTTTGTTATCGTGTGTTTACAACGTATTAGTTATTTTATTCAAAACAAATTAAATTTGTAAAAGGGTAAATTGCATGAAAATGTAATGTACTTTAACTTGATTCATATTTTGGGTAACGTACTTTCAAAACTTCTATTTTTGTATCTAAGATGTAAAGTTTTAAACATTTAAGTACACGAGTAAGCAGTTGAAGTATTAATCAGTTACCATGCAAATGTGGCGAGTGATGTGATAAATTGAGTTGAATAACAAATAATACTGAGGTGGATATCATATCACTCGTCACATCAGCATGGTAACCGATTATACAGGTACTTAAATGTTTACAACTTTACATTTTAGGTATCAAAATGAAAGTTTTGAAAGTACGTTACCCCAAATATGAATCAAGTTAAAGTACGTTACTTTTTTCATACAATTTACTTGATATAAAAAATCATATATAATATATTGATTATTTATAATAAAAAAAATATTAATAGGTCAAAATCTAATTAAACACAATATATTTTAACCGAATTGAGAAAGGTTTAGTTTGCGAATTTTTTTTCATAAATAGAAAGAGCGTGTTTTTTAATTTGGAGGAACGTGTATTGAAAAAAAAAACTTGACTTTATCTATAAATTTTTTTCTAAAAATTTACTGAAATAAGTCATTTTTTATATTATTAAGCCACTACCAAACAATCATGTATAATTGACCAAATAAACTATAAGATTTAATAAACTTATTAAGTTACTAAATATATACTTATCGCAAGCTAACGAGACTTAACGCAAAGGATAACCATCCCCTTGATCCACATGTTGGGTGTTGGTCACGTGATAGTTGTCTATCACGTGCTCCCTCTTTCTTTCTTTGTCCACCCGTTGACTTTTCAAGGTGTTTTCCTAATGGAACGTCGATAAATAGCAACCAAAAAAACTCAAAAATTCTGTGTAAACCCGATTATCTGAAAATGAAGAGCTCTTCCACCAAGAAGCCTAATCTTTCCCACAACCGTAACAACCTGCCGGAAAATAGAAGAACCAAGAAGCTGCCGGAGGTGTTGCCGGTAAAGATGGCGGAGGAGAAGAGCAAACCAGCAGCGGCGGCGGCGGCGGCTGCAGACATAGATCAGAGTGCAGAGGACTTCATTATGAAGTTTAGAAACCAGTTGATGATTCAGAGGATGGAATCCATTGATAACTATCATAAAATGTTAGCTCGAGGAACATAACATATATACATAACATATAATAATATATATATATATATATATATATATCAAATTATCAAATTATAATAGTAATGTATACAATTACATTTGTATTGTTATTGTTTCCTTCAATGATGTATATGTCACCTTAAAGTTGATAATTTGATATATATATATATATATATATATATATATATATAATTAAAGATCTTCTAGATTTGTTTGTCACTTTTGAAAGAATGCAAAAGGAAGAGATGTATATCTTCTTGACCTAAGTGAAAAAAGTATTTTAAGCCACTTTCAAACAAAAAAATGTTTTTTTCTTCGGATCTTGTGATATCTCCATATTAAATTCTCCAGTTTTAAATACTTTTTTAAGTATCGATAAAATAATATGCTTAATCTTATCCAAATCTGCCTCTAAAAATTATCATAGTGGTCAAGAAGTGGGTTCTGGCATAGTCATGAACCCAAGTTCGAGCCCTGGGAGGGGAGTGTTGGCGACATTTAAGTGGGGCCATGTTTAGTCTCCAAAATTGCCGGGGATTAGTCGGGCGTTGGCCCGGACATCCTTAAAAAAAAAAGTGGGGTCCAGTAATGAGTTTTTCGATTAAAATAAAAAATCATTGACCTTTTTTCACCTCTTAAGAATATTTTAGACCAAAAATATAAGATAAAGGCAAAATGAGTATATAAAAGACATAAAAATAGAAGTATTTAACAATAAATAACTGTCAAAAAATTTGTACATTTGAAATCTAACGATTTATCCATTTTCCATAAAGGAGCCGAATGAAACCAAAGTTTCATGTTCAGTTTGAATCAGAGACGTTAAATATGATGAGTTGGGAGTTATCAACTAATATCGATATATTTTTTTCAAATTTTTATCATATCTTCGATTTTATATTTTATTTAAAAATAAAAATATTATCGTTTTCTCAAAATCACATAAAATCGTATTATATCGACAGAAAAAAAGAATAAAACAAAATATAAAATCGAAATATATCTCGTTATATTACGCGGATATCCTTATAGTATATATATTACCCAAAATGATCAAATGCATATAACTCATTTTTTACGGGTTAATTATAAATGAATTGGTTTGGAAGCGGACGAAACTAGACCCAACCCGAAAACCCGACCAAACCGATCTATATGAACCGAACCAACCCGAGATCCGAAATCCAAAAATTATATCGGGTAAGTCGAATCGAGGTAGGATCTCATGATCCAAAACCTGAACAAAACAAACAGTCCTTATTTGTTAGGGATTCAATCGATCGACTCCTCTTTGCCTCTTTCGATCGACTGACCTCATCTCTGTTCTCTGTCTGGATTCCTTTTGTAATATGTCGTATTTTCAAATATCTTTTCATAATCCGTCATCACTTTCTTTTTTCTCTCTTGACACTATCTTTCATGGTCCGATCCGACCCGTGCTCACCCCTAGACGAAGCCACCACTTAACCAACAAATAGAAAATAATAGAATTGATCGAAATCAAGCTAATACATGATTGAATTTGTTTGCACTTGAAATTTCACAGTAAAACGTTGTGAAGGTAACTTTTACAGTGTTTTTGCTGTGAATGTTCGAGTTTTTTGTACTTTCACAGTGCTTTGCTGTGAAGTTTAAGTGTAAAAAAATGGTCTCACGAGTCTCACGTGAACCCAACCCTATTAGACATTGGGCATCAAATGAAATCTTAATCATATTCATTTTATTCAAAGAATGATCACAATCAAATAAACGAGCGAAGCCAAAAGTTCTTCTTTCAACTTTAACCCCAGATACACCAAATCCTTTTTGAAATATACAGTAAATACTATCGCACATTCTTCGTCTTTTATAATATTTGAACCTTTGACCTCTTAAAAAGCTGGGCTCTAACGCAACCCAGATACCATGGAATCAACGACCCTTTGACAACTCTAAATCTTTATTATCCAATCTATTCACAAGTGAACAAATTTTCGTATTTGTTGTCGTTGCCGGAGCCCGAATCCCGGAGCATGGCCGAACCATCTCTCCGGCGATGGGTATTACCGGAAGGATATCACAGTTGCAGATCTCGATCATGAACCCATCTGGATCATGAAAAAATAACTGATCAACGTAAATTCCGCCTTCTTCGACCCTTTGTCTCTTGTACTCGATTCCCATTTCTTTTAACTTCTTCTCTACAGTTCCCATGTTCTCGCACTGTACACAAACACTTTCACACATTACACTTCGATTTCAAGTTTCGGAATTGAGATTTAACCTCCAAAAGATTATAAGGGTGCGTTTGGTACTAGGACATGACAGGACATGACACTTGTTCGGCGTTTAGTAAGACATGACTAGACATAACAAGACTGGTAAAATGATCAATTTACTCCAAATGAATTGTTTATATCTTTTTTGGTAATACACAAATTTTATGCTATGATTTTGTGGTTATTTTCATTAGCATTAAGAGTTCGTTTTCCTTTTTTTTTTTTTTTAGTTTTTTTCTATTAACCTGGATATCCAATCCGCTATGCAAGCCGACTAATCCTAGAGCGATCACCTGCTTTGCGGATAGCCCGCAGCCATACTGCATTTGAACATCCGTGGCCACAAGAAGATTTTTATTCTTCATTAGATTTAAACCTGGGACCTCCAGACTCTTTTGACCTTTAGAGTCCAAGCTCAAACCAATCAGGTACCACCCTTGTAGGCTCAAACCTCTGTTTTCCTTACTTTTTGAATCTAAAAATTGTAATTGATCCTATATTAATGTTGAGAATGTCTACCCATTAAATGAAAATGATTGTTGGAAATAAGTAGTCAGGTCGGAAAAAGAGCAGTTAGAAAACTATCTGATAGACCATCAAATGGTAACTTAGCAGTAGTGAGTAGCCATCAGCTAATAATCCGTCAGTGGGTAACCATTAGATGATAACTTGTCATAAGTCGGATGATTTTCATCGGCTACTAACATTCAGCAGTGTTTGCAAACATTGATAAATACCAGTCGTCAACCATCTGACGTTAAAACCTTAGGAGTCGTTTATTAAATGCTTATTAGATAAGCGTTTACCGGGTAATTTACATTACTGGATGAACATGGCAAGAGCCAATAATCTTATCCGGTAAAAGTGATGATGAGGATGGAGAATATCGTAAGTGAGAGTGACGACTGTTGTTACCGGGAAAATTGTTGCATACGGTACTTCTTTTGATAGACTATAATTTTACATGGTAAAGTAAGTTATAGTGATGATTCTTACGGGTAAGTGCTTACTCGGTAAGCATTCAGGTAAATGGTTCCTTAGTGTCTGCTACATGGTAAGCAGGACGCCAGGACCCACTCCAGGGGCGCGACCCTTTTCACCCCACCATTTAGTAAGGATACCCATAGGTTGAGTTGATCGGATTGAAGACATTTAAACAACCTAACCTAATGCATGCGGTTTAAAAAATCTTAATCCAACTCAACCCAAACCGTACGGGTTGATACTTTTGGTACACTAAAATATTCTTCTAACCTTGAATATGTTATTTCTCTACTCATAATTTATTTTTCATCATCAACCATTTAATACAATTTATCCATACTTCTACGTATATCATATTCAATTACTTTTCTCAATTTACATATATATGTTCACAGTTACTGAACATATATACGAATGAGTTATATAGAGATGGAGAATAGATTGAAAATATGTATATATGAAAAGCGTATGTGATTATGTAATTGTCAAATGTATATATTAATATAAACTCAACAATCATATTAAATCCAAGAAATAAAATGATATCGGATCCTTCACGTTAGGTTGAGTTCAAATAATAGTAACTCAATATCAACCCAATACCTACGGTTTGAAAATTTTACAACTCGATTAGACATCGGGTTGCTTCGGCTTGAGTTATTTCGCGTTGGGTTGATCGGGTTTTTGAGCACCCCTACCATTTAGTGCCTTCTAACGATCCTAGGTTCTTGTTGACTTACACGAGTATGCACTCCACACCTACCTAAGGGGCCGTTTACCTAAACACTTACCCGGTAAAATTCAATATTATCGCTTACTTATCGGGCAAGATTTTATTTACTGAAACGCATCGTATGCAACAACTTATCTCGGTAAACGCTAACCATGGTAAGAGTCATCTTCCTCACTTACCGGGTAAGACTCGAGATTCTTGTTTTCGCTCTTATCGGGTAAGATTCTTAGTCTTTGCCATATTCATCCGGTAAAGTAAATTGACTTGGTAAACCGCTTACCCAGATAAGCGTTTTGGTAAACGGCACCTAAACCGATGATTTCATAGAAACTTGCAAAATCAAAGATGATTCGTAAGTGTTAACCTGAAAGGAAATGTGGTTATCCTTAGGATTGATTTCAGTTTTCTTGGAAATCATATGTGGGTCTTCAGATTGAAGCAAATGCAACCCAATTCCAAAGCTAAAAAGCCTAAAAACAACAAACAAGTAAGAAACAGAGCATAATTTACAAATTGGAAAACCAAGAAGAATGATTTTCAAAGAGGCATATTTTTCAAATTATTTGGGTTTAAGAGATAAAATTACCAAGCACCATCAAAGTCAAGATATCCAGGCCTCTGAATCGGAACAAATCCGAGAATTTTGGTGTAGAAAGCCACTGAATCTTCCACTGATTGGCACAGAAGTGAGAAGTGATTCATAGACTTGAGATTCAGAGGATTTGCAGCAATTTCCTTCATTTTTTTTTCAAGAAATTAATGGAAGAAGATTTGTGGGATTTGATCGGATGCAGGTTTTAAAGAAACCTCAGATGGAAATGGTGATTATAAAGGCCAAAGGTTTTGGTGATTATTTCCACATGCTAATTGACACGTAGGATCCACGTTACTGACAACTAAGTGGGATTCGGACACCTCATTTTGATTTTATTAAATAATAATTGGATTTTGAACGATGTTGTTTTGCACTCTACTTATCTAAAAAATAAGGTAAATTGCATGTAAAAGTAATGTATTTTATCTTAATTCTTATTTTGGGTAATATATTTTCAAAAATTTTATTTTGATACCTAAGATGTAAAGTTTTAAACACTTATTTATCATTTTTAATCAAATTCAAAGGTTGTCTACCTCACAAATAATTTCTTTGATCTTCAATCCCTTTAAAATTGACTAAAAAGTAAAGTTGTTTTGAGAAATTGACTATTCTGATTAATTTCTCTAAAAAAACCTGTTATTTTAGTTTTTCCAAATTAAATATCCACATTCAAAAGTAAATGTCGTTTATAAACGTTTACTGGGTATGGAAAAGGCCGAGAGTCTTACTAGTAAGAGACATTGCAATCAAGGACGGACCCATAAATTTTTTCAAATGGTGGCACCAATTGACCATAAGAAAAAAAAAATACGATTTTTTTTTCAAACAGTGGCACTATTTGACTAAGAAAATGACACTAACATGATTTGAGCTTGGGTTTGGAGTGGAATAAAAGTCTTGCAAACCAACTCTACCAAATAAAACTTAGTTTCAAAATACATACGGTGACACACAACAAATTAATACGGTTGCACCGTTCAAGAACTTAAATATTTTACCCTTCGGTGGAGAAATAATACGGTGACACGTGCCACCTATACCACATAGTTGGATATGTCCCTGATTGCAATGACTGATAATCTTACCTACTAAATGAGGGATGATACTCTTACTTATTAAACGTCTTACTGGGTAAAAGACGCTTACCAATAATGTTACCCCATGAGATATGTGAGGGTGGTGACTACTGCCAGTGAGTGGTTATCCAGTAAACCTTTGATAAACAGCTTCTAAGTGTTTATTCTCTTATTATATCCTTAATTATAAGATAAAGAAACCATACCTTTCTAACATTTAACGTAAAATTATCATTTAGTTAATTAAGAGTGTAATGGTTGCACATTTTTAAATTTAGGTGTTTTTTAATCGTGGACATTTATTTTGAATCAAAGGAAGTATGTATTCAATGTTTTTTGGTACTTCAAACTAGTAACAATACCTTTCGATGATATAGAGTGTACATATTTAAACACAATCGCCATTTTTTGAAAGCACGAGAGTTGCGCTCGTTGTGGGACTTAATCCAACACCTTACGGCACGAGCTAACGACAATCATGCACCACCTGTGTCCACGTTCCCGAAGGCACCCCTCTCTTTCAAGAGGATTCGCGGCATGTCAAGCATTTTAATAAAACCCAAAAGAAGATGAAAAGAACAAAAACAAATAACTTATGCAACCTACAGAAAACAACCCAAAGCAAAATAATACAAAACAAGGTTAAAAAGAACTAACCCATACAAACAGAATAGAAAACAACGGTAACCAAGATCACTCAAGACTAAAAACCAAGATACTAGTAATCGAAAAGACTCGTACATAGATCGGGACGTCAAAAACCTCACAGTGAGCCAAAAAGCCATGCAATATGCAATCTTTTCGAATTCTTCTCAAAATCAGTTATAAGATATAGTTTGTATAGCTAGAAATAAAAAGTGTGCAGATAAAAAAAGAAAAAAAAATAATAGTTAAAATTGGTTATCTTTATAAATTTCCACATTTATATTATGGGAAAATTAACAAAAATAACTACTTTATACATTTTACATTAACAAAATAACTACTTTTCTGAGTTTTGTAACAAATGACCATGCAAATCACCCTGGGGCGATTTTGACCAGATCACCTCATTTATTTATATTTATTTTAAATTTAATTCTACGATTAATATTAAATCGTTTATCAAACCTTAATCTTGAAGTCTAATATTTAATAAAAAATAATTAATAAATAAATATTTAAAAATGGAGGTGTTACTTATGAAACATCCAATACGATTCTTGATTTGTTATTAAGAAATTGAAGTCAAATAAATTCCAATTGGAATTCATTCTTTTGCGTGACATAAACTATAACCTCAAAATGGCACCACTCATGCTTCACTCGTACGGAATGTTTCTTGCATTTTCTATCTCTAAATTGTCCAATATTATTTTAAAAAATATATATTTTTAGGTATGATTGCAAAATACATTATCATTCAGGAAAAACAAATGTGGTCACTAACGCGTTAAATAGAAAGGAGATAATAGAATCAATTCGGGTTTGTGCCATGTGGGTCAAAGTCAAGCTGGATCTAATGGATCATATACGAGATGTTCAGAGAGAAGAACATTAAGAAGGAACAAATCTTATACGGGTAAGTGCTTACCAAGTCATAATACCGGATGAATATGGAAGGACCAAGAATTTTAATCGGTATGAGCGAAGGTAGAGACCGAGAGTCTTACCTGGTAAGTGAGAGCGACGACTCTTACCACGGTTAGTGCTCACCTAGTAAATTGTTGCATACAATTATGTTTTAGTGGACTAAAATCTTATCCGGTAAGTAAATGATAGTGTTGAATTTTGCTACCAAACACTTACCCGGGTAAGCGTTTGGTAAACGACCCCTTAATTTTTATATTCTCAATATATGATTTGACCTAAAAGAGAGTATATAAAGTATTTCCCTAAATTAATCTAGGTGAGTTAAATGCATCCCTACCTACTAATTTTTTCCCCCACATACATCAACATCATGATCTTTTTTTACATTTTCAATGCATAATTTGACTTGATTCTGACACAAATGAAGGTGTATATTAAAATACCCATATTAAAAAGGGGAATGTTATACTCACCTCATTTGACATCAAAATCAAGTCAAATAATGCATTATGAATGTAGAAAGTAATTGACCGTTTACCAAATGCATACCCGAGTAAACGCTTACCAAGTCACATTACCTTACCGAACGAATATGTCACAGACCAAAAATTTTACCCGACAAGTGAGGAATGAATATGCAAAGATCAAGAATTTTACCCGGTAAGTGTGTGCGACGACTCTTACCACGGTTAACCCTTACTGGGTAAATTGTTGCATTCAATACTGTTTTAGTGGACTAAAATCTTACCCATTAAATAAGCAATAATGCTACATTTTAACAAAACCTTGATCTTGACGAGTGCCATAAGAAAAATTAGAAGATAAGAATATATTTAACAATAAATAAAGATACATTTAAAAAAGACATGCTAAAGCTTTTCCGGGTTCTTTACAAATTTAACCCTCAAATAAATCGTTTGTAACAGTTGACTCTTCATTTAGCATTTAGCATCACGTGGTGCGTAAAGGGACCAAATTGCAAAAAAGAAAAAATCGAACCTGACCGACGTGACAAGACTTGATATGAGTTGACCAAAATAAATGGAGGGTTAATTATTGCAAACGATTTATTTAAGGATTAGTTTTGTAATTTATATCTATTTGAGGGTTAAATCCGTCAATAACCCAAACTTTTCCCCTAAGTAGATATGAGCGGGTTTTCATTTGATCTCTTAACCTCTAAATAAGGCCGTGGTTGCACAGAAACTGTCTCCTGATTAGGGTTTTTCTGAGTTTCAAATTCGATCAATACAACAATGGAAGAGATAACAGATGGAGTAAACAACATAAACATCTCATCTGATTCTTACAAGAAAAATCGAATTCAAGTCTCCAACACCAAAAAGCCTCTATTCTTCTACGTCAATCTCGCCAAGGTAATACTAATCTAAAACCCTCCACTATTCTTCCTTTTTGATTCACTTTTCACCCCGAATTAGGGTTCTTATACGCAATCTTCGTCTATCTGCTTCTCTTGACTTGATTCTTTTGTTTAATATCTTTATCTAGGGTTTTGTATGGTTTAATTTGTAAATTCATCGAGTGTTTTGTGGTTTTGATTCTACATGCAGAGGTACATGCAACAGCACAACGAGGTGGAGCTTTCGGCCCTTGGAATGGGTAATTGAATCATCTACTTTAATAGATCACTATTTTTGTATAGAATAGAGCTTGTGTGCTAGTAGCTTAACAAGCTTACGAGACTTACAGCTTATTCGTGCAGCTATTCATGATTGTTTGATGGTTGCTTAATGATATAGAAAATGACTCACAGGCTTACTGCTTATTCGGTCAAACCCTTTCTTTCCAATAAAAGAAACATGCTCATTCCATTTATGAAAAAAAACCCTTGGAAACAAAAACCTTCCCTATCTACAAAGACAGATTAATCCACACAGACAACTTTATTCATACAAGACTTAATAAAAACCAACCAAAAATATCCCCTTATAATTGCCTAAAGTGTCGATTCTGCTGGGATTTCTTCCCTCGCAAAATTGAGAGATCAAAGGTCTAGAAGATAATAGGAACTATTTCTATCGGACTAAACTAGAATGTTGGTGCTAGTTTGAAGTTCAGTTTTGAGTGTGATGGCCCTTTCTGAGTTTAGTACATATTGGTTTTTAGTATGACTGAGCTCCTTTCTGAGTTTAGTACATATTGTTTTTTAATATTCAATACATCAGAAAAATGCAAAAACTAATAAATAATCAAGTAAGTTGGTACCGTGGTTCATAGCTTCGAGTACCATGTAGTTGTTAAATTTGTACAAGTTTAATTGGTACGATTGATATACATATTGGTCGATTTGGTTTGGTACAAAGTTGCTACCCCTAGATTGAGCAACCTGATAATTGGCCATTTTGTTTCATGGCACGTCTGTTTTTATTAAATAGCAAAAGACAAGATACCTAAGCCCCATTCGACATTAGGAATAGTTTGTGCACAAGATCTTGGCTGGAATCTCAAAAGTTTGAAGCTTCTATTACATGCCCCTGTTGCTTCCCCCTCTTTAGTTCCGAAGCATGATAATTTGGTTTTGTCTAGTGATGATTAGTAATTTAGTTATATGGCGGTATTGATTCATATAAACTATTATAATGTATCTATAAATCGGCTTTCCTTGCAAGTATACGATTGTTAATTGCTTTAATAACGTCATATTGCAGCAATTGCAACTGTTGTCACAGTTGCTGAAATTCTGAAGAACAATGGATTTGCTGTTGAGAAGAGTAAGTTATAATTTTCACATAGAATTATGCCTACAAATACAAATAGATTACATATTATTATTCAGTTATTCCTTTGGTGTCTGAATATGCAGAAATAATGACATCAACTGTAGACATGAAGGGGGAATCCAGGGGAAGACCAGTCCAAAAGGCTAAGGTAAGATTCATCATAAGGGGCTGTTTACCAAACGCTTATCGGGTAAGTGCTTACTAGGTGTCACTTGCCTTAGCGGGTGAGCATGGTAAGGACCAAAAATGTTATTGGTAAGAGGTATAGCAAGGACCGAGAATCTTACCCGCTAAGTAATGGAGAAGACTTACCAATTTAGCGCTTACCGGGTAAGAGACCCTTACCAACAATCCATTTTGATAGCCGAGAATGTTACCTAATAAGGTAAGTGAGGCGGTAACTCTTACCCAGTAAGCGTTTGCCCAGTAAATAAATGATTTTAAACAGTAAGTGGTTACCCTGTAAGCAAGTTACCCAGTAAGCTGATGATTTAAACAGTTGCCAGATATTATGTACTTCACCGATAGAAAGAAAGAAACAATTGATCAAGCTATTACTAAGGTGTCACCGTACTTTTGACAACCGAAGCCTGAAGGGATTAAGTGTACTAAACCTTCCCAATACATGTAGGCAACATAGTGCCTTTTTTATGTTGAGAAGATATATAGGATTATTTAGCTTGGTCGGCGTAGTTGTCCACGTCTTTCAAAACCTGAAATGAAAACAAAATAGGTTAAATTGCATAAAAAAATATAACGTATTCTAAAAACCTTTATTCTGGTACCTGAGATGTGACATCTCTGACATATAACTACATGGGTAAATTGGTTTAAGCATTATTCGGTTACCATGCTAACACACCTCAATACAAATAGTATTATAACATAATGTACCTTCTCAACTCTTGCTTAAACTGGTTATCATGGTACTTAAACGTTTGATATCTTAGATACCAAAATGAATGTTTGAAAAGTACGCCACCTAAAATAGGATTCAACCTACCACGATATTTAGTCGGTCCTGGTCCTGGTCCTGGTCCTGATGAGCTGTGTTTTTGGTATAAAAATTGTATGCTGCAGATTGAAATAGTATTGGGGAAGACTGCAAACTTTGATGAGTTAATGGCTGCTGCACAAGAGGAGAGGGAATTGGGGTATGCAGAAGAGCAGAGCTGAAATGGAAAATGTAGTCTTCTTCACCTTGTGGTTATCAAGATTATTATTAAATTTCCATTTGTTGTTTTTGTCAACTAACTTGAAGAAAGTCTTAGAACAATGGATTTATATTCCCTTCTATGTAAATTTGTCTATTTATTTTCTTTTTCCTTTTTCTATAATGTGGTCACAGTACAAAATTTTCATCTTGTAGACTTAAGGGTGCGTTTGGTACGTGGGCCAGACTGGACGAGCAAGGGTTATGTAGGTGGTGAAAGAATTGTGGAAGGTTTTTGCCTTTTGAGGGTTTAATATGACGTGAGGGTAGTTTAGTAATTTACTAGGTTTGTCTTGTTCTCCTTGTTAAATGCACCTTTGCCTACCGATTTCTTTCTTCCACACATTAACATCAAGATTATTTTTTTACATTTTCAATACATGATTTGACCTGATTTTTGATATTAATTAGGGTGTATATAGTTAAGCATCTTCAATGGAGAGTTCTTATAAGAACCATTTTTGCACATTTTATTGTCAATTCATCAAATTAAGAACTCTCTTAGAAGATAACCTCCTTTTCGTGGGTCCAATTGATTATTTCAACACCAATAATTATTATATTAATAATTGTAAAGACAAGAAAATAAAATAAAAAATAAGGAAAATATCAATTTTTACAAACTTCATGTAAGAACCAAGGTTCTTGTTCAAAACACTTAAAAGGATATGAGGTTTTTATAAAAACCTCTTCACAAAGTTCTTATAAGCCATTGTATTTTTTGCTAATAAAAACCTTGCATTAGAGATGCTCAAAAACTTCACAAAAAGTGCATTTTTGTGTTATTAAGTTCTATGATATCACAATAGACAACAAAATTATTGTTATGTCATGTTCTATGTATCAAACGCGTTTTAAGAAATCAACTGAAATCAATGGTTGGTCGAAATTTAGGAAAGGATCGGTCAAGGATTAAATGGTTGTTTGTTTACCTCTTAATAGTTCCATTAAGAGGCAACATCTGAATCGTTAAGAAATGAATCTTGTTTAGCGAAAAAAAAGGTTGCCTCTTAATTGTTCTAAAATCATTTGAATGAGTTGGATCTCCCTTAACCATTAAGAACCCTAATTTTATTGTACACAATTACCAAACAATTATATTTTATTTTACACTATATCATAAAAGCCTCTTAATTATTCTAATCATTTAATCATTTTATACAAAACCATTCAACAACCTCCGACAACTCTAGACGTTGGCACCTCCCACAAAGCCACGTTGGCACCTCCCACGAAAGGTTGATGAAGCTCCACGTGGACGTCTCAACTCTCACGACATTTATCAATTTCACGAAATTTCTTCAATAAATTTGCTTCTGTTTGAATTTCACCCGACTTCTCGTTCTCTCATGGCGCTCATCCCTGCAATTCCTACTCTTGCTGCTAGCGGCGCACGGCTTAGTGTTCTACCGCCCATTATACATGTTAGATCCTCTAGTCGGCGCCGATCGGCAGTTCTGGCCAATCTATCTTCTCCGCCGCGTGGTGGCGAAGCGCTGGATTGGGTGGAAGCGACGTCAAGCTTCTTCGAACAAGATACCAGGCCTATTATGCTATTTGACGGTAATCCGAAAACCTTTTTTCATATCATTTTAATGTTCCGATCGCGTTAAATTATCATGCTCTGCATCTGTGAAGATAATTTTGTTTTTCGTGCCTTTTAACCTAAATAATTAGTCACGGGGTTTTTGATGATATACGGACTAATGACATGAAGTTAGGTAGCTAGTCGGTGTGTTAATCTGGTCGGCTAATTGTTAATTTGTTATCGGTAGTTGGAGGGAAAGTAAAGCAGTCTACGATGTTTGGTTAATCATCCATTAGAATCTCTGCTTAAATGTTCAGCTTACGAGGTTTTTCACGATATATGAACTAATGAAATGAAGTTAGGGTAGCTGTTTGGCGTATTAATTTGATCGGCTGATTTTCATCCGTAGTTGGAGGGAAGCTAAAGCGGTCTACGATGCTTGGTTAATCATCCATTAGATGATTAGAATCTCTGTTTAAATGTCTAGCTTCAGCTTTAGATGATTATAGATAGAACATTGTATCTTAGTGTATTTTCATAACCATGAGGCCCATAACTACCGGTTGAGTTACATATACGTAGGATTGAAATATGCCATCACTTATAATAGTGTGCGTGAAGTGTTATATATGGATATGATTATGTTAAACAGATTGTTCAATTTTGATAGGTGTGTGCAACTTATGTAATGGAGGTGTGAAGTTCGTACGCGATAATGACCGACAAAGGTTTCTGTTTATGTTCTTATGTATTTTGCTGCTTTGTGCTTTATTTGACTTGTCTCTTCACTGCAGTCTCTCTTTTTCACTTTTTCCCTATTTCCTTTACCTCTACATTTGACCTCGAGGGACAAATATTCCTTTGAGATCAGAAGGATGCAGGTTTGGGTGATTGAAACATGGGCTATTTAGCTCAATGACCTTCTCCGGATGCTTGGTTTGCAATTGACCCTCTAGTTTATTTTCAAGTTTTTACAAGGGCAGTCTGTTTTAAACCATAGGTAGGCTGTTTAACACCAAGGGCAGGTCAGATGAAGGTCATTGAGTTAAGGCTAGAAATTAAAGAAAATTAAGGAACGCGCAAATATTGGTAAAACTACAATTGATCCGAAATCTGATTCAAATCCAACATAGCACCCATAGGTACTTCCTTTTGCCACATTTCGCTTAAAGGGTGTCTAGGGTTGGGCCAGGAGGGTCTCTTAATGCCAAGTCTTTGCTTGTTAGGTAAGAGGATAGCAAGTCACAAATCCTGTTCTAAGCCATCTCTGGCGATTAATCAAGAATCCTAAGTGATACAAATGGTCCACTGGGAGCAAGAATTTCCCCGATATTTTAGCAACAAATCTAATAAATCCAAGTGTGGGGCGTAGGCCTCCCAAAAGGTAATGGAGGCCGTGCAGTTTTCTTTTTATAAGGGATAAAATCGTTGTGAACAAAACCTTGGTGCAACAAGGAGTTTCTTTTTCAAGCTAACTTGCTTGGTAGAACGAAGTCGGAATCACTGTCGCCCATATTCTTATCGCACGTAACCTAAGCAGGAAGAGTTCCGAAATTGGTTCTAATGGTCCCAAATGAGCACTTGTAGTTTTAAGGAATAGGATGGATCTCATGTCCTATGACATAAAGATGTCCATGGAATCTATTAGTGCAATGTTGGATAACATAAGGTTTCTGACATGTTAATGTGCAATGTATATTAACAACTCAATTGCATTGATCTTCATTGCTTCTTATTCTCTATCTTTAATTAGCTGCAAAATCAGAACTCCAAACTGCAAACTGGATCAAACTGCACAGGTTAGACTATATTCCAAACCAAACCGCACCTCCAAACCGCCCAACTGCAAAAAAATGATAAGGTCTGGTCTGGTCTGGTCTGGTCTGGTCTGGTTCGAGAGGTTTCACAGTCCAACTGCTTTTTGGAACACTAGAAGTGTACTCTGAGCAACACAACATGATACTTCTCGATTTTGAAGCCAAAAACTCGAACTCTCAGTACTCAATACTGCTTCATGATTCTTTCTATTCTCTGTCTCTCTGCATTATTGATTTATACTCGATGCTTTAATAGTTGTCTTCTTGAAAAATTAAGAGTTTCTAAGAACAAAAGTTCAAATGCTTTATAATATAGTAACCTAATTATGTTTTAGTTGAAATTTATTCCCCTGCGTTCCAAAATGGAAAGAACACAAGGAAAGTGCTTTATTAGTTCAACACGAACTCTTATATTTTAGAAAATAGGTGGTATGTAAATATGTTTCACTCATTTAATGGCCCTGCTTTTATAGTTTTAGGTATTAACCTCTAGTAGTCTGACCTATAAAATGTTACTATATTTGACCTTTAACATGTTCTTCCTTTCCGTGTTGCTTGAAACCATCCATGTAGTGTGTTAAGTTTCTCCACTGGAGTTATTTATGTTGTAGAATGAGCTTGTTTTTTGATGATGCTTAGTTAAATTATAATTGATACAGTAATGTGCCTTCATTTCCAGGAGAATAAGGTTCGAAGCCCTACAAAGTGATGCAGGCAAGAATCTGTTAAGGAGGTCTGGAAGAGCTCCTGATGATATTTCAAGTGTTGTACTTGTAGAAAAGAATAGGTATGGTTATAGACCAACTCTGCTGTTACTGTAGTTAGACAATCTTGAGATTGCATGGGTAATTATTTGTGAAGAACAGTATCAAGAAGGTGATTGTGAATGTTGAAATTTATGTCGAGTGGATGCCTCTCTTTTTGTCCTTGTAAATAGAAATGTGACGTGTGTTGTACTACTGCTTTTGTGAGATATACTGGATTTGTTTGGTTTATGTTCACCACATCAAGTCTTATTGACATGAGATTTATAACCATTAAGCAAGGTCTCTGGTGCATTTCAGGTCTTATATCAAGTCAGAGGCTGTGCTGAAGATCATGGAGTACATAGACTTGCCCTTTCCCCAGCTAGCGTTCTTTCTTCAGTTTGTACCTTTGTGAGGCCATATACTTGCTAATCTGTTATTGCTGTCTTCTACTATGGAAACAATTTGATGAACCATCATTAAAATTGTGCCTGTTTCTTGCTGCAGATTCATAAGGGATATTATGTATGAAAACCTTGCGGATAACCGTTATGCTGTATTTGGTCGTTCGGAGTCCTGCGAAATTTAGAGGACTTATTGTAAGGTAATTTTTATATACTTTTAATCGATCGATGAGCTGAATGTTACTCTTGCAAAGTTTTATGTTACTAACTCTTGATTGAACACAAGCCGTATCGTATTTTTCTAGTGTATATTCCTTCTGTAATCTTTAGATAGTTAGGTATCTAAAGTTGTACGTGTAGAAAGTAAATGCATAAGGAGAAAAATCGAATAAAAATATTGATGAATGGAAGGAGCTCATATCTTATTACAGACAGTTAAAGTAAGCATAAACATGACATACTTTGCAATGCAACAAGTATTAGGGGTATAAGAAATGAGTGGCCTGACCTTGAGCCTTATAAATGTTGGTCTAAGGTTGTAGGCATTTTAAAAAAGGTTTAACATGGCTAAGTCTTCCATGGGCGTTGATACAGCTTCCGAACACCTTTCTTCCTGGGGTAGCTGAGCTGATGTACACACTGTCCATTACAATATTTGTGCACGCAACACTTTCACTGCAACTTAGATTTATTACGTTGTCCATGCTTGATGTCCCCGCGATTCCTTTGTACGTTATGTCGCTCAACTTGACAGCTGATGTCTACATATTCGAGAATCCCACATAGAGAAAACGCAGTAATTTATATAAGGGTTGGAACCAACCTTCATTCGATATCTTATTCGCAGAAAGTGCGTAAGGTTATGTTTCGCAAACTAGCCATAAGCTAGTTGTGGGCTGATACGCTAGTTGTTAACCTAAAACTCTAAAAGTAGTTGTTGGCTTATAAGTTAGTTGTTAGCTGATAAGCCTGTCACTCATGGTAAAAACTAGCTGATAAGCTAGACGACGATGTAAAATGACCTAAAGGCGCGTAATTGGAAAAAAGCCCCGGGAGCTTATTGAAACGCTACTTGAAGTAGCTTTTCAAAAAACTAGCTTATGGCCAACCAAACAGGGTTTTTTGAGTAAGCTCAAATAATAAGCTAGCTTATGATTGCCAAATATGGTCTAAATCTAAAGAATATCTTCATCGAAATTGCATCATGTGTAGTGTGTGACTGTGTGTTAGATGTTGATTTAGCATGCTTACAGAGTTTAGGCAATCCTTTCGATTGGGACAGTAGTATTGGTCGATTATGATAGGATTATAAACTGCATCAAACTTGATGCCTGTAAATGAGATCTGCTTCGCATGACCACTTCCTCCCTGTCAAAAAAAAGCCAATAATCGACTTTTACTTGATAAAGATCTATGAGAGATTTTTCTCTTATTTGGTTGACTTCAGTTCTTCATACAGTAACAGATTACCTGCCAAGTTTTGATCCTTACTCCAGTTAGCGTTTTTATCATGGTACAGTTGCGGACATCTATGTTTTCCACTACATCGGCTCCACTGTGTCCCAAGGCTCCGATGCTACATGAAAAGGTAATAGATTTTTAAAAAGACAACAGACATGCTTTATATTGATAATGAATTAATGATCCATTTCCAAATATCTTTGCTTCCTTATGTTATACAATATGTGCAAGCTTACCTGATTCCATGGCCTGGCCCGCACATGATACCGCTGATTTTGATATTAGATGAACCTCCACCAATAGCAATACAGTCGTCTCCTAGGGTTATGCAAGATGATGAAAAAAGTTGGTTAGAGATTAACTAGCTGAAAATAAGATCACTGACTAAATTGGAAAGAGGAAAAAAGAAACTACCAGTTTCAATAACGGAGTTACGTATATTGACATTGGTGGAGCCCGATACATCAATGCCATCGGTATTCGGGCTTGTTTCAGGGGCAATGATATGTATATTAGAGACAATGACACCATTACAAGTAGTTATTGTGATATGGACTCGTGGGCTGTTTAGATGTGTTAAACCATTGAGTCGCAATCCGTTGCATCTTTTGAACTGTAACGCCTGTCGGACAAAAAGAGTGCGGATAATGTGAGAAATTTCCATTTCCATTTTCATGCAAAGGTGAAAAGGTGTAGGTACGTTTATACAGTGTGAATGTTTTAACCTTCATATGATTTGAAAGTATGTATTGGAAGGTCACTTATATTGTGTGAAAGTTGTAACCTTCACGGGGTATAAGGATACCTTCATGACGAACCTTCATACAGAATAATGGTACCTTCACCTTTTCGCACCTTTTAGCGAAAATGAGTTGTTCTCACCGTAACCCAATCGGTCCATATCATATATTAAAACTATAAATAAACTGATTTGTTGCACAATCGAGCTGAATAGCTCATAGGACAGGTTCCATTAGGAACCTCATTTTCATTAAGAACTGGGGAACCGCTCACAGCATGACACGTGGCAATTCTTCAGGAATATGCACGTGATATTAGTCATGAATGTTGTAACATATTCATCAATAATGTGTTATTCATGATGAATATTCATTCTGAAGAGTGACACGTGGCGTGCTGTGGGCAGTTCCTGGGTTACCAACGAAAACCAAGTTTTCAACGAACTTTCCTCATAGCTCATTGTGCAGTTATAAAAATTTTGGGATTGTAATTAGGGCAAGGATAATGATTACTTACAACTGGTGCATGACAAGTTGTACCCTGAAATTAAATGCATTAATATGTAAGAGTTATTTTATATGAACATAGATAAGCCACTTTCCCCTCAAATAATTGAAGGAACATTGAAACTAAAGAAGAGATGAGAGTGAAGATGATAACTTACCGGCGCCGGAGAACCAATGCAGGCATTTTCCCACCAAATAGGACCTTGACCATCTATTCGTCCGTTGCCACTCACTGTAAGACCATCTACCATGGAAAACAATAGCCATGTATCGATGTGATAACCAGTCCAATCGGTTTTCTTGGTTGGACCAAGAATGGTTCCTGACACCTGTTTTCGACAGTTTTCAAAGATAACCATGCAGATAACATTGACATGGAGTATAAGAGTTGATTTATATGTTTCATGTGATTTTATGTTGCATGGCTTATATTTGAATTCCATTATTGACATCATGTGATGATAATGTGTCTTATTCTTAGATATAGTCACATGATCATTCTGTTTGGAACCTTTTTAGCAAACATTCTTGAAAAAAGAACACCCAAAGCATGCAGCACCTTAGAAACCATACATAAATGTACTAAATGATGATTCTTTTAGGGACCAAAACGCTTACCGGGTAAGTGCTTACCGGTAAGAGTCACCCCTCTTAGGGGCTGTTTGGTTGGTTTTCCATTAAGTCCTGTATGGATAAAGTTGTCTATGTGGATTAATCTGTCTGTATAGATTGAGAAGGTTTTTGTTTGGGAGAGTTTTTTGATAGATGAAAGGAGCTTGTTTTTTTAACTAGGTTTGAGAAAAACTTGGTTTTCTGCATAAAGCTCCCCCTAGAAGCTTACCTAATAAACCACTTTCTGTATCATTAAGCTACTAACAAACAAACCTTTACCAACCTTACCGGATAAGATTATTGGCCATCAAAATGGCACTGTATGCAACATTCTTACCCGGTTAGGGCTTACCTATAAGAGCCGCCACCCTCACTTACCAGGTAAGACTCAAGTTCCTTGCATTGCCTCTTACTGGTAAGATTCTTGACGCTTGCCCTGTTAATTCGGTAAGGTAAGTGCTTACCCGGTAAGCATTTGGTAAAAGGCCCTTTAGTCCTACTAAGATTCTATTTGGGATTATATTCTTTAATGGAATCAAACGTGTGTTCTTTGATCAGTGTTCTTATAGGATATATATATATACCTGAACGTAGATACGGGAGGGCTTGCATGGGCCATTGAACGAAATAGGCTTCAACAAGAACGTCTTTCCTGCCGGTATGACTAATATACTCTTATCATTTGGTTGTGCTTGGCATGCTGCCTTCCATGCTTCACTAAATGCCTGTATATTTGCATCATACAACTCACTTAACAATTACTGAACAAACCGTTTGGTGAAGAACATTTTGATATAACATCTGCATCATTTACTTGTACGGTTGTACCATACAACTTCTTAAACCAAACCAAACGAGCCTAATATATCCAGCCATAGGTGGTTTTTTTTTTTTTGGGGGGGGGGGGGGGGAGGGTAAGATATATGCAGATGAGGGGTGTAAATGAGCCGAATAGCAGGTTAAGCTCGATTAACTTTTTCAAAGTCGAGTTCGAGCTCGAATATTTTTTCAATGTTTGAGCTCGACGCTCTTATATGAGCTCAAATTTGAGATCGATTACATAGTTTAGAACTCAAGCTCAATGATTTTTATATTTTGATTATATAACTTGTAAACATATAAATATATTCGGCTCGAAATAGTGTATGCTCAAATGGCTTAACTCGGATCAATTCTTTAAGTTTAATCGAGCTTTTGAACGAACCGAGTCGAACATTGATGTTATGAAGCTTGACTAGATAAGTTAAACGGGCTTTATTTTGTGTTCGAGGGCGACTTTCTCGAGCTCGAGTAGCTTGTTAAAAGCTCGACTTGTTTACACCTCTATAAAGACCTAACCTTTACCCCACAAAGTACAACAGTGTGAAACTACATTGTACGTACCGGGGAATCGTCGGTTTTTCCGTTTCCAGTTGCTCCATATTTCATGACATTGAAAGTTGTGGTTGATTCAAGATTGATTCTAGAGAGACCAGTAGAACCAAAAGCAGAGGAGATCATGCATGTTAGCAAGACCAAAACCAATGTGACCAACCCAACCTGCATATATATATATGTTCACTATTAGCAAAACCCCATATGAAATCTTTTTATATGTGACATTTTTCTGCCTAAATTGTTCTTATTATCCTAGTGCAAAAAGACAAAACTGTCCCTGTTCCAAAACCTGCCTAGTTTCTGTGTTATGTATTAATTCAAGAATCTACAAATATGGCTTTGAAAATGAAAGAAGACTCACCATTCTGCCAATCTGCCAAACCATCATATGTAACCAGCAATCAAATTCTCTGTAATGTGTCCCTACTTACTGTCATGTATGTACTCATATTCATCTGTGACTGTGTGCATGTGTGTATATATATATATATATATATATATATATATATATCACACACACACACACACACACAAAATCATCTACTTTAGGGTGAAGTTAAAATAGGTGTTATTTGTTTAGTTTGTATAATATTTACGAATTAAAGCAACGTGTAGGATTACTCAATCACAACTAGAAACTTTAGAAGGTTATGAGCCAGGTTCACCGAACAACTTTTAGAAAGTAAAACTGATAAAGTAACGTACAAATACATCATTTGTATCAGAAACTCAGATGCCGTTTACTAAATGCTTACTGGGTAAGTGCTTAACCGTTTACTATATCTTATCGGATGAACATGACATGATTGACAGTTTTACCCGGTAAGAATGATGACAAGGACCGAAGACTCTTACCCGGTAAGCGCTTACCGGAGCTGTTTTAATGGACTAAAATCTTACTTGGTAAATCAAATAAAGTGTGTGGGTATTAGTGGTAGGCGCTTACCGGGTATATGACCCTTTAGTATAAATAGAGCTACAGCCTATAGAGTCCACTTTTTTTAACAAATCCAATAATTTGTTCAAACTTATAAACTAGTTTTCATGTGTTGTATGAAACAATACGTGTGAAAATAGAATGTTTATAGGATGATGTATATATGAAACTTTCATGTTTGTTTTCTCTACAAACAAAAGAGTCTTGAACTTTTCATTTATGAAATGACGAATAGAAAGATCCATGGAAAAAATGTGACTATACTTAACAATAAAACGCTTTGAAAAGCTCACATACGACGAAGAGTATGATTTGTTGTCGTCGGAAAAACGATACTTAGTTGACATTCATAAAAAGTATGTAATGAATTATGAATTCTATACATCTTGCTTTCTCTCTAGATTCTAAGATCCTGGACTTAGGCATGAGAATGGGTCTTGAACCGTCGGGAACCTGGTCCATCCGCCCCGGTCGGGAAGGAGGATTCCCCGTTAAATCGGGGATGGGACAGGGACGGGTATGGTACGCCGCACCCCGCCCCGCCCCTATATATATATTAATTAATAAATTATATATTTATACATGCATATATTTATACATATATATATATATATACATATATATATATATATATATTATTTCAACTAAAGCGGTAATTCATAATTTTTTATTTCCTAAGTAAGTTTATAATCTAAAATTGTTATTTCTGGATGTTAATATGTAATATTTTGGATGTCAAGTCAAAATACAATTACTCGATAAGTTTTGTATATTATTCGATATGGTTTTATATTACTCAATATCTTTTGGTACATATGACTTTAATTTTTTTTTTGGATTAAATTGATTTATTTTTGGTTTTAAGTTGTTAATTCTTATATGATGTTGTGGTTTTTTTGTATTAAATTCATTTTGGTTTTAGGTTTATTGAAAATATTTGAGATTTAAACATGTATAGTCTCTCACATATTTAATTTAAAATAACTTATATAAACAGAAAAAAATCCCCGTTTCCCCGTTGGGGACGGGGACAAGGATAAAGATAAGTAATCGGGGACAGGGACGGGGATTGAGGTCCCCGCCAATCCCTGCTCCATTCCCATGCCTATCAGGACTTGAATTCAACACTGCATCTTCATACGTTTTGTTTCATATGTGAAACAATACATGAAAATGGGTTTGTAAGATTGTACAATTTATTAAGTTTGTAAATGGTTATACGTAGCGGTGATTATAGGTTGGGTTGATAACCCAATATTTGCAGTTTGAAAAATCTTAACCCAACCCAAACCAAAGTGCAACCTAACCCAACCCAACCCAACCCAAATCGTACGGGTCGGTCAAGTTGATACTTTGATACATTAAAAGATTCTTCTAATCTTGAATATGTTATTTCTCTACTCATAATTTCTTTTTCATCATCAACCATTTGATACAACTTATTCATACTTCTTACATATATCACATTCAGTTAATTTTCTCAATTTACATATATATGTTCACAATTACTAAACATATATACGAATGAGATATATAAAGATGTGAATAGATTGAAAATATGTGTATATGAGAGCATACATTATAATGTAATTGTCTAATGTATATATTAATAGAAATTCAGCAATCATATTCATCGGGTTGAGTTGAGTTCAGATAGTAACTTAATATCAACCCAATACGTACAGTTTGAAAAATTTACAACTCGGTTAAACAACAGGTTGCTTTGGGTTGAGTTATTTCGCATTGAGTTGGGTTGGGTTGGTCGGGTTTTTGAGCACCCTACACGTCTAAAGCTATATAACAAAAATATGAGACAAATTAAAAGTGGTTGCTCTTGTTTTTGTGCTACATGTTCTGTTAGTAATTTTCATTTGAAGTGTTTATTGTTTTCCTCTTACAGAACAAAATACACTCGAGCTTCTAGATTTAAAGTGTGCTTACAATGTGTTCACAAACTATAATAGTAATTTTAAGAAACTGTTCATAATGTATTCATCTTGTGTGCATATTTAGTTATGTGCATATTTAATTGTGTGTACACGTGTATGTTATTGAGAGGAGAGGAGAGATAGATGATTTTAATTTATATTAGATTTTATTTTTAAATTAATATTTTATATAGTCTAAATATCTCACAAATTAAAATTTTCTCAAAATAAAGCCCCATAAAACTATAACTACTAGATTTACCGTTTTAATGAAATGCCATTTTGCTTATATGATTTTCTTTATTAACCAATATATTCAACCTGCTATACGAGCCGATTAATAATAGAGTAACCACCGGCTTCACAAGTAGTCTGGAGTCACCGCATTTGAACTTCCATGTCCATAAAGAGATTTTTATTTCTCATTGGATTTGAACATGAGACCTCCAAATACTTTTGACATTTGGAGCTCAAGCTCAAACCAATCAGACATTACCCTTGTGTTTGATTATATGAATTTATAATTAACCTGCATATCTAAACCACTATGTGAGACAATTAACCCCAAAGCAACCACCTGCTTCGCGGGTAGCCTGAAGTTACTGTATTTGAACCTTCGTGGTAACAAGAGGATTTTTATTTCTCATTGGATTCGAACCTGAGACCTCCAGATACTTTTGACCTTTGGAGTTCATACTCAAACCAATCGAGCACCACCTTTGTGGTTGATTATATGTTTTTTGGGGCTAAAATGGACATATTTTGTGTTAACATAGATATACAATGAATAGATAGTCTCCAACTTATTTTATTTTATTATATCTTATTATATATATGATTATGATTTTTAAACGATCAATTTAAAAATATATAAACTAACACCACACCCCCCTCAAAAGAATAGAATTTGATTCTTTTTGTAGTTTTTTCCTTACGTTTTGAGATTGTTTGCTTTAATTATTATTTATATAGATATTCAACAAGTTATATTGTTAATATAATATGATACAAGAGATAGTGTTATGGATGTGCGACTTTGGATCATGTGAGACAAAACTGTTTTCGTGAGATACGATTTTTACACTTGAAACGTCACAACAAAACACTGTGAAGGTAACCTTCATAGTGTTTTTGTTGTGAATATTCGACTTCTTTTTACCTTCACAACATTTTGTTGTGAAGTTTCAAGTGGAAAAATCGTATCTCACGAAAACAGTCTTGTCTCACGTGTCTACAAGTGATTTCTAATTCCATTCTGAAGAATCTTTTTTACATTCTCAGTATTTGATTTGATTTTGACATAAAAGAGATGCATATTATCTGATTACCAAATAATTAGATAATCATCAGGGGGAGTAGGTTATCTAAAATTATAAATGTAATCTCACGGGTCTTACGAAAACAGATTGGTCTCACATGATCTCAAATCTAATCATGTTTAAAATATATGTTTAAGCACCCTAAAAATATGACACGTGTACTCAATTTTATTAAACATAAATTCTTGCTTAAACAAGGGAATATATATCATTTTTAGAGGTGATTGCATTTGTACGAATTATGTGGCAGAATGTGTGTTGTAAATTGGGTGGTTAAAGTGGAGGAAAAGCAACTCCTTCAAAAGGCGATTAATTGGGCTTTAAACGGCGTCGTATCTTTATTATATCTACTAAACTAACCTTACCTTAGGTTCTAATTCAAAGTAACCATTGCTTTGATTCTAACTAATGTTCATGTTCTCCGTTATTGGAGGAGGAAATGCTCCATCCACTTCCATTGTTTATGTGATTTTGCAAGTACTTTTTTTCAACCGTTGATGTGTTAAAGATTAAGGGGCCGTTTATTAAACACTCACCCAGTAAATGCTTACCGGTAAAATTCAACACTATCACTTACTTACCGGGTAAAATTTTAGTCTACTAAAAAGGCATTGTATGCAACAATTTACCCGGTAAGCGGTAACCGTGGTAAGAGTCGTCGCACTCACTTACCGGGTAAAACTTTTGGTCATTGTCTCGCTTTTACCGGGTAAAATTCTTGGTTCTTACGATATTCATCCGCTAAGGTAATGTGACTTGGTAAACGATTATCTGGGTAAGTGTTTGATAAACGACCCCTAAAATAAGATAAATATTGTCTTATTGCGCATGGTTTTATGGTGGTTCATGACCCTTTGATGGCAAAGGTGTCATTTGGGTGATCTTGTGGTTGTGGTATATGAGTTTTGATTTATTTTGGAAAAATGCAACATATATGGACTTGTTTTGAGATAAATTGGTTTAGATGTGGTAAAACGTGTGGGTTGTGCGGGTTAAGATTTGGGTCAAAACGGGTTAGGCCTAAGACTGTTAGTACATGTCAGAATGGGTCGATTCATGATCTTTTGGGCCCATTTGGTTTGACGGGATATTTTTGATTTCGTGGAAGTATTTGAAAATTTGTGTTTTTTGTTAGTAGGCTTTGTAATGGAATTGAATTCCGTTCTTGTATAAATCTTGTTTGGTTTATAGGATTTTGAATATAATTTAAACATTATGATTTGTACCTATTATGCTTCGGTTCGAGAGAATCGAGAAGATGAGGTGTGGAGATATCAGGACAAAATTTGATGAAAGAAGCGGAGTATAAATGCTATCGAAGCATTTGAAATCCATGGAATTTGGATTTAAAACGACAAATCATTTACAAGTGATTTCTAAATCCTTACTGTGGGATTTTATTGAAATCCGTGGATTTCAAATCCAAATTTCAAATTCCGTGTTGAAATATAATTTAATTTCAAATCCCTCCAAATTCTACGAGATCCCGTAAACCAAACGGGTCTTTTGAGTTTGAATACTGCCAAATGTCTCATTTGGTTGAACTCGTGAAACTGAAACGGTCTATTTACAGTAACTAAATATAGAATAAAAACGGTCGAATATCATGTGATTTTACAAATTCATACGACTTTGGCCGAGATCTAAGGTGTGTGCCACGTTGTCGAAACACCCTTAGGATGATTGTTAGTGTAGAATCGCATGTGATGTAACCGTTTTCATGTTTTTATATTTGGTTGCTGTTTTCGTTTGAATCACCCTCTTAAGGCATGAACTGTATCAGAAATTGAGGAACCGGATTCGAGTGAATTTTTATTTTTCATTGTTTCCCTCTTGAAAGACAACATTAAACAAAAGAATCAAACCAAAACTAATATAAAAACGAATTCATCGTAAACAACGATAAAATACAAACCACAAGGGTGGTATCCGACTGGTTTAAATTTGGGCTCCAAATATCAAAAGTGTCTGGAGGTCCCTAGACATGAGAATGGGCTCCAACCCGTTGGGGAACACGGTCCACCCACCCCGGTCAGGGACGGGGATTTCCCATTAAACCGGGTCTCGGGGACGAGGACGGGGATCCCCCTTTGGCTCAAACTGGGGATGGGGATGGGGAACCTCGTACCCGTATATATATTAATTAATAAATTATATTATAAATTATTTATTTATATTAAACCAATAAATGGTAATTTCTATTTCAATATATTTTGGATATTACTAGATGTGGTTTTGGTACATGTGACGTTAATTTTTTTTTTGGTTTTCGATTTATTAATTATTATATGATGATGCATATTTTTTGTATTAAATTAAATTTCTTTTGATTTTAGGTTTACTGGAAAAAACCTTACAAAAACAGGGAAAAAAAATCCTTCTTTCCTCGTTGGGGACGGGGATGGAGATGTGATCAAATTCCCTGGTCGGGATGAGGACGAGGACGGGTATCGGGGTCCCCGCCCCATTACCATACCTAGACGTCCCATGTTCGAATTCAATGAGGAATAAAAAATCTTTTGTGGCCAAAGAGGTTCAAATGCGGTGACTCTGGGTTACCCGCAAAGCGAGTAGTCGTCCTAAGATTAGTAAGCTCATATAGCGGGTTGGATATCCAAGTTAATAAAAAAAAAATTAAATACAATAAAATCAATAAGAAATAGACATCAGAAAACAACCCGAACCAAAACTAATACACCGCGTGTTTTAAACACAAACATAAAAATACAACTAAAACCTTGTCAATGCTCATGGGCGTAAACTTAAAAAGGAGACACAACAACGATCTTAAACCAAATTAATCAAACCCAGTATGTGTATATATATATATATATATCTGAAAGGATAAGATGTACACAGATTTAACGTTTAAGACAATTAAAAGAAGGCTTGACATGAGTAGCTCTACCATGTGCATTAATACAAGTGCCAAATACCTTTCTTCCTGGAGTTGCTGAGCTCATATACACACGATCCATTACAATATTTGTGCACGCAACACTTCGACTGCAACTTATATTTATTACGTTGTCCATTTTTGATGTCCCCACGATTCCACTGAATGTTACATCGCTTATCTTCACAGCTGATGTCTGTGTTTAAATCAATAAAAAGGTTGGAAATTAATTAAGCAATCTCTTAGGGATGTTTGGCAGTTGCTGAATGGTTTGATACAAAATGATTATGTTGTTAGAATGACCGAGAGACTCTCATGATATAGTGTAAAATGAAATATAATTGTTTTGTAATTGTTTACGATGGAATTAAGGTGATGAATGGTTAGGGGAGACACATGATACAAAATCATTCAGAGAGTTTTAGAAACTATTAAGAGGCAAGTTTTTTTTTTTTTTTTTTTTGTCAAACAAGAGTCACCTTTTAGAGATTTAGATGATGCCTCTTAATGAAACTATTAAGAGGTAAACAAACAGTTCCTTAGTTATCATCGAAATTCACTGCTAGAATACTGAGTATCTGCTATGGAAAATTTTCAATGGCAAAAGGTTCGTTGAAAATCGCTTGAAACAAGAGTTTGTCAAAGATTCCTTGAAACAGGCTTTCCGTCGAAAATCAATCGAAAAATTCCCATCGGAAAGCAATCAAAAAATTCCAATGAAAATTTGTCGAAAATATGAACAAATGGTCAATTACGGTTGACCAAGTTCTGTCGAAAATCCCTTGCAATTTTCATGGATTTTTCGACGGATTTTTTGGTCGGAGATTTTATTTTCCGACCAAATTTTCATCTTCGAGAAAAGCTGTTGAAAATTCATCGAAAACCTATATTTTCGCCTGAAATTTCTAACTAAAAAAAATGGTCTCACAAGCCTCATGAAAACAAGCGGTCTAACCTGAACCCAACCCATATGAACGATTTATGTAATTTAGTCAATAATATATTAAATTGGAATATATATATATATATATATATATATATTCCAATTTAATATATTATTGACTATATATATATAGGGTTGGATTCACGTGAGATCGGCCTGTTTTCATTTGACCATTTTTTTACACTTGAAACTTCATAACAAAACGTGTGAAGATAAAAAAAAAAAAACGAACCTTCATAGTAAAAACACTGTGAAATGTTACCTTCGCAATGTTTTGCTGTGAAATTTCAAGTATAAAAAATGGTCTCACAAGTCTCAGGAAAAAACTGATCTCACATGATATATATATATATATATATATATATATAGGGTTCAAACGAGAACCCCTGTAATTTACGAGAACGCAAGAATAACCCAATAACCTCATATTGTGATAAAAAATAAAATTAAAAGATTTTTAAAATTTAAATTTAAATTTAAATTTAAAAAGATTCAAAAAAATTTAAAATTAAAAGGGTAATAATGGAAATGATATCATCAAATCTTTTAAACACGATCATTATCTTTTAAACACTCATTATTATCATTATCTAGTAAAACGGTTATGAAATAGGTTAGGATTATACTAGGTGTGATAATCATGTGATATAGGTGTGATAATCATGTGATAGGGGTGTRATAATCACCATTATACATCACTTGGGTTATCGTTTTGGTTAATAAGTTAAAATTTTGGTGTGATAATCATGTGATATGAGTGTGATAGGGGTGTGATAATCACCATTATACATCACTTGGGTTAACGTTTTGGTTGATAAGTTAAATTTTTGGTGTCATCATGTGATTTGGGTGTGATAATCATGTGATAAGGGTGTGATAATCACTGTTATACATCACTTGGGTTATCGTTTTGGTTGACAAGTTAAAATTTTGGTGTAATCATATGATATGAGTGTGATACTTATGTGATAGAGGTGTGATATGAAGAAAAGATGTTAACGAGACAAGAAGAAGATAACTACCAAGAGTAAAACGTGGAACGTGAAAAGATAATTATGGTTAATTAAAATAAAATAAAAATTATAAAAATTACTTAATTACATTATTGTCCTTATTAAATTATTTATATATAATAAAAGTTAATTTATTAATTAAAAAAGTTTGAGGTTATTGGGTTGTTCTCGCATTCTCGTAAATCACAGGTGTTCTCGTTTGAACCTCCACCTATATATATATATATATATATATATATATATATATATATATATATATATTGTGTGTGTGTTGAATGCTTACAGAGGTCCGGCAGTTGGTTTGGGTGGGACAGTAGTATTGGTCAATCATAATGGGGTTATAAACCGCATCAAACTTTATGCCCTTAAACGATATCTTTCTTGCATAACCACTTCCTCCCTGTAAAAATAAAAATACGTGGAACCCTTTTAAATAAATTTTTCTAAAAAATCTTTAAAAAGAAAGTGAGATTCCATCATATACAATATTAAATTAATTAAAGAAACTGTATATAACTGATATGAGAGTCCAACACAGTATATACCTGCCACGACTTGATCCTTACTCCGGCCAAGGTTTTTACCATGGTACAATTGCGCACCTCTATGTTTTCGACCACATCGGTTCCTCCATTCCCCAACGCTCCGATGCTACACGAAAAGACACGGATCGGGATCCGTCAACAACATGCTTTACGCTATTAATAAATTGATGGGGTTTTTTTCTCCCACACGTATCTTTGCTTGTTTAGGTCACAAGATATACCTGATACCATGGCCCGGCCCGCACATGATACCGCTAATCATGATATTAGATGAACCTCCGCTAATAGCAACACAATCGTCACCTTCAGTCATGCAAGATAATGTCAAGGACAAAGTTAAATAATTGAATACAACTACCGAAAGATCTTTCACATGTGCTGATGGATGCTGACTCTGATGTCATATGAGGATAAAACAAGTGTCGTATAAAGATGTGTTTACAGGACACTCTTCAATCAGATCTCTTATGATACGCTACATCCAGTTCGGTTATTGATAGAGTGATAAATATGTCATTTCTTGAAATCTCTTTTCAGGTATCATTTAAAAATGTCATAAAAACCTGTTAGGATGCCGAAAAACGTCTTATCAATTTATTGTAATATTTTTACATTATGACTTATAATTGTTTGGTCCTATAAACTTGGGTACTATAATCAATATATATATATATATATATATATATATAGAGAGAGAGAGAGAGAGAGAGAGAGACCGGTTCAAATAAGAAAAGTAAATATCCACGGTTTATATGTGAATCCACTGAAAAAATCTATTTGAAGATACATATGTGAATTGACATTATATAGAGAATGCATATGGGTTCACATATACATATTCAAATAGATTTTTTCAATGATTCACATATGAATCTTCTCATGTTATTTAACATTTTTTATTTTAACCTCTCACTGTTTAGACATTTAGACATATTTATCATTCTATAAAGGTTTTAGGGTTCGTATCAACAAATGTGAGACTCCAACAAGCAACAGAATTACCTGTTCCAATTATGGAATCACGTATTTTAACGTTGGTGGAGCTAGCGATATTAATGCCATCAGTATTTGGACTCGTTTCGGGGGCGATGATACGAAGATTAGAGATGATGACATTGTTACAAGCCGTTATTGTGACATGGACTCGTGGACTGTTTACATGTGTTAAACCATTGAGTCGTAAGCTATTACACCTTTTAAACATTAATGCCTGCATAAAAGTATATATGTGAGATTGTAATCACAAAATACTTACATCGTGTTTTTAACAGATTTTTTATAATTTCTTTTAAATTACAGAAGTAAGACTTCAAATTTAGAAAAAGAAATTATATTCCTCTTTAACAGTTTTTCCATTTTGAAGATTTCAATATAAGTTATATTATACTAGAAAGATACTCGTGCAATGCAGCGAGATATATCTCGATTTCAATGTTTTATTTTATTTTTTTGGTCTCTGTCGATGTTATAATACAGATTTATGTGGTTTTGAGCAAACAATCATTTTTTTCTTAATAAAATATAAATTTGAAGATATCATAAAAATTAAAAAAAATATAAATTTTTTATGTAATTTTTTAATTCAAAATTTTAATTATAATTTAGTTTAGGTTTAATGAAGTAATTTATTTTTGATTTAATAATATAATTTTTATAAAGATAATAACTAAGTTTCTCTGTTAGAACTCAATAATTATCCTAATTATATTTTAGATTTATATTTAAAATAAGAATTGCATCTTGTATTTGATTATATATATCTACAGTTAATTACAAATTCAAATATGAAGCTTAAAAAGTTGTACTTACGTAAGTAATATGTATCAATAAGCAGTATTTTATGTATAAAAGATGGTTTTTAAAAGTTTTTTCTCAAATGTTTTATAATATAGTATAGATTAAGGGAAATTTGCATCAAAATGGAATCAACTTTACCCTTATTTCTATTTTATGAACCGACTTTTAGAATTATTATTTAAGGTATATAATTATGTTTATTTAAGAGTCTCGTGAAGTTAGGATAAGAGTTACTTACAGCTGGTGCATGACAACTTGTACCCTGAAATTAAATGCACGAATACGTAAGAATTCGTTTTATACGATCATATTATATATATTAACGTACCCATTTTACGCTCCAAGATCAAAGCTACCGATTAAAGGAGGGATGAAAAACTTACGGGCGTCGGAGAGCCAATGCATGCATTTTTCCACCAAATAGGACCTTGACCATCTATTCGTCCGTTGCCACTGACTGTAAGACCATTCACCCTCGTAAACTCTAGCCATGTGTCGATGTGAGAACCGATCCAATCGGTTTTCTTGGTTGGACCAACAATGTTTCCCGACACCTGATTAATTATGATCCGGAGCAAATCCATGAGTTAGCGTACTCTTGTTATGGTGTGTTAGGATTTGTAATGGAATTGAATTCTATTCTTTATAAATAATTAAAAAAAATTATAAATAATAATAAAAATAACGAAATTACCTTTTTATTAATGGATTATTAC